ATATCACAATAGGATATCTGGGTTTCTATGCATTTTTTTTTCTTTACTGTGACTTTGGAAATCGTTCTCTAAGGACCATGTGACTGACTCCAGAAGTGTGGTCTGTTGGGGCAGGATTTCACAAAGGCTCTGAAGTCAGCATTTCTTGTTTACAAGAATTGTACCACTAATGAATATGGTGGTTGTTTAGTCCCAGTTCTACAGAAGGAAAGCCCCAGCTTGAGCACAATGGAAAGAGCAGATGTCACAGGGACAAAGTGGCAAACGTCAAAGTGAGAGCTTTGGCTGGCAGAGTGCAATCTGCCCATGTCCACTACCTAACCCTCTTAGTATTAGAGACAGAGAGAAGAAAACTCATAAAGCGACTGTCAAAATTATAAACAACCAAGAAAGGTAAATGAAATATGGTGCTTGAAAATTTTAGGCTGCCCAGTAAAAATAGGGAGTCATGTGACAGATCCCATGGACCATAAATGAGGAACACAAATGGTTTGGGGAGCCAGTGAAAAAAAGTTCTGACATGTTTGGATGCCAAAGATTTTTAAAGTTGATCTCTTTTGGCCTGGTAAGATTTTATGCATTTTTGTCGTTCCAGCCGAGAGGTCTAAGGATTAGGGGATGTTTCTGCCAGCCTGAAACTCATGTGGTGAAAAGAATGTACTCATGTGACAGTGAAAAAATGAATGTGTAAAGATAAAGGGCTTCTTTTTAAGAAAGGGGTAAAAAATTATTTCTCATTGTAATTTTCGTCCAGTTCTTCAAAATAATGTCAAAGTACTAGTTAATTTAAATTAGAAATTTCTGTTTATACATTCAAAATAAGGCTTTTTCATCTCAGAGTTGCTTCTGTAATGGTACCTAGTTTTCAGAATGCTCGATCAGGTAGGGTTTACCTGTCCTGGAGAATAGGACCTATTCTAAATTGGGCTATATGAGAAAATAGCCCTTTATTTAGATGATGATAATAATAATACAGGACTAGGAACTATTTGAATGTTTGGATGATAATTTTATATGGACAAATAACTAACTCATATCAGCTTTTTTTTTTTAAACCTACACTATTTATTGAGAAGAAGGAAAACACATTCATCAGAATAGCTCAGAAACATCCAATGGAGAAATGGGAGAAGACAGAAGATTTTTTCTATTCCCAATATTTGTTAAATACGTGCTGTGAAGCCAACACAATACAAGTTGGATGACAAGATAGTTAAGTCCTATTAATGATGGACTTTTCATTTCTGTAGATATGCTTTTGCAATTTTCCTAGATTTCTGCTCCAGGGTCACATGCTAAGTCAATAGTAGTTATAAACCTCTCAGCGTTGTGATCAATATCTTTGGCTGACGTAATCTAGACCTCGGTATAATTTACAACAAAGGACAGTTTGGGCAAGCCTCTGTTTTATTACCTTCAATTCACCAACTGAAATATTTCACCAGTTTATGACTGAAATTCTTTTCAATTTTTTGATAGATAGGGAATTGAAATAGTCCTGAAGAGAAACCTCAGGTATGAAAAGGAAAAACAGCAATAAGCATTTCTTTCTTTGGGGCAAGATGCCTGCATACCTCTCTATGTCCTGAAATTATCTAAAGTGCCACAAGAGTGAATCATGTGTCTGTGTAGCTACCTATGTGTGTCTAGTTATCCAGGTGGATGAGAAAATTCCTGAAGTATTCCTTATCTTCTAAACACACAGCATACAACTAAAACAATACTGTCCATAGTCTACTTTTTCTTGAACCTGAATAATCATTAACCATCTGTTTGAGCAAAATAAGGAACAATAATCATCTCTTGACACCAATACTAAGGACTGTGATTCCTATTATTGCGCCTTCATGCAACATTCCTGTAATTTAGATGGACTGTTTTTTTCCATATCTGTTGTGTATTCTAGGCCCACAAGGTACAAAAGAGAAAAGGAAACCAGTCATTGCAGAAGTGATTAAAGGACTAGTGGGAGTTCATAGAAAGGAAGGTTAGAGGTATCCTGCCTTTGGGGAGAGGCATCTCTGTCTTGTCACCCTTCTCATCCCACCCTATCTTATCACGCTCAGGGTGAGATAAAACCAAAGTGTGTGTGAGGTGAAGAATGGGTAAGGATTAGGATTTAAATACCTGTAACATCCCTTTCAGCCCTTGTTTTCCTTTTAGCCAACCACAGGCTACCTTTACATGGGCTTTTATTGTCTAAGACTAAAGATAACGATAATATCTCAATTATTGAGCAACTATGATGTGCCAGGTGCACATTCCCTTTTTGTAGTTCTCAAACAACCTTGTGAAGTAAGCAGGGTTAACCGATTTGTTAACCTATTTGACAGATCAGAGCACAGGTTCAGAGAGGTTCGATAAGTTGCCCAACTTGAGGCAGGACTTGGTCTAGTTGCCCAAGAGCCTGCACTTTTTGTATGTTTAAACTGTGATGCCTCTTCATGACAATTTACAGATCTCAGAAATGCATAGTTCTAATATTCACTAGTTGTGTAACTGTGTCTACCTATGTCATGACATTCCTTGGGGTGGGGGGGAACTGTTTATTTTTATATTTCCATTACCTAGCACAGTGCCTGCCATAAATGGGTGCTCAATAAATATTTGTTGAGTTAAATAAAATACTAATCAATTTCTTTTATAGAATGCTAACTTGTTTCCTGAACCAAATTGGGTAGATTAACAAGGTGAGATGTCAGCATTAAAACATTTGATGTTCTTGTACAGATTTTCTACCCCTTCCCCATATTTCAAGGATGGAATCCTCTGTTTAGGTCAGAGACAACAAAAATATAATTGACAGCTACATTGTGAAGTGAAAAATCTCATGGCAATTAAAAATTCAGACTATCAAGCAAAACTTTGCAAAGGGATATCTTTTATTGCCCTTTCCCTGGAAAGGTCTGCCCCTCTATATCATTGTTCTCTGTCGTGGGACCTACAGAAAGCAGTAACTTTGTCCATGGTGATTTAAAGTGATTGAGGATAAGAAAATGCTGTTTCAGTTCAGCATGTGAGAATCAACTAAGTGCCAGAGATTAGGGATATAAAGATGACAGGCGCTTGTCCTTGAACTTCTTATGGGAATGCATCTTTTGGCTGGGAGAGAATTTGGCTGTGTACTGGAGTTGAATTGTCTCCCAATAAAGAATCAGCCCCCATGGTATTTTGTAAGCACTGTTTCAAACTTGGGTCTTTTAAAAATCAAATTTCCCCAAAGTAGCACACAATTCTTGGAAAACTGGAATATCACCTTTGAATTCCTTTCCCATTACAAGCATATACATGTAGATAACCTGAAAATAGTTTCTCTGGTAACCGGGGGTTGCTGAAGGGTGAGCACCTGCATAGATGGAAAGAGTAGTTTTGAGGGGGCGGGAAGGTCTCTCTCTCTTTCCAACACCCACCTAGGAATCTCTGTTCCAACCATGGGGCTGTGTCTCCATTGTCCTATTTCAGTCTAAGGACACACCTTGATGGAGAGGAATACCATGCCAAAGTAGGAACCAGGTGCTCTAGCCATTGGAAGATTGTCAGAAGGACACAGGTACTTCAGCAACTCAGAGCAAACCACCATTAGAAAGACAGAGACTCCCTGAGATTCAGGGATGCAAGTTCTTTTAGCTACCGCCTGTGCATTAACTTGACTAAGCTCTCCTCTATGGATGAACTCAATGCAGCCAGGTGAGATCAATCTTGAGCCTCGTCTGTCATTATGTAAATGGAGTAGATAATCAAGCATGACCAGCAATAACCAACTCTCAGTATACAAGATGTTACATCACTTTAATTGTATGATTTATCAGAACAACAACTATTAACATACAAAGTACCATTCAGCTTAACTGCAGGTATAGGCAGTGACAAGTATCTAATTCTTAGAAGAATCACTCCCGCAATATGTCCAGACATATTAACCTAAGGACAAGTTTATAAATAGCAAACCAGACTTTCACATTGCAGTGTTTTCAAACATGTATATACAGGTGTGCAGTCCTGTTGATGGGTTGTTTCCATAAGCTCTTTATGATCTTGATGCATTCATTCTCTTGATCTCAGTAGAGATAGTTATTTCTTTCCACAGAGCAGATGTATTTTTTGTCATCACCATTTCCAATACTCTGTAAATTAATATTATTTTTTACATTTATGAAATAGTAAGAGTTGAACTGAAATATTTCTGCAGTTCAATTCCTTGTGTCTCTTGGCAAGTCCCACCATTGTCAAAAAAGCTTTTGGTTGTAATCATTTTCCTGCAACAACAGCCAAACTCAACTATTGGGTTTCAGCGTGACATACTCTCTTTGTAGCTTGCTGTGTTAACCCTTGGCTTCAAGTCCTGGTGATGTAATGAGGGTGGGGTGTACTGGCAATCAGTACATTTCCTTATCACTATTTACACCCATTTAAAGTCATGCTGTTATTAATCTGCGTCTGACATACCTTTTCTGAAATGTTCACAGTGCAGTATTTTTTTGTGGCCTAACAAAATTTCTCTTATATCATTAAAAATAAACATTTTTATAAAAATATAATACTTTAAATGTTTACATCGACAAAACCAGTTAGAGTAACCTACACCACATGCACTATACAGTAGTAAGCACAAAATTCCACAAAACAAAACATCACAAAAGGCCTGCCCAGAGTAGCTATTCATCCAGGTGAAATAGCCAGGATTTTCAAATTGCTCTTTTTTGTCTATTTCTAAAATATGTTTTGATTAAAACAAAACACGTCCTAATGCTGCAGTCCCCAACCCCCTGTGGGGACTGTGGCCTGGTACCGGCCTGTGGCCTGTTAGGAACGGGATGTTACATCACACTGCCTGAGCCCTGCCCCTTTGCCTGGTCCATGGAAAAATTGTCTTCCATGAAACTTAGGAACTGGAGTCGGGGCGCGGGGTCACAGGGCAGGAGGTGAGCTGTGGGCAGTGGAGCGAAGGAAGCTTCACCTGTATTTACATATTTACAGCCACCTGCGTCACCGCCTGAGCTCCGCCTCCCCCCATAAACCACGGAAAAATTGTCTTCCATGAAACCCGTCCCTGGTGCCAAAAAGGTTGGGGACTACTGTCCTAATGCAAAATGGGACTCCCCCAAATTTGTCTCCAGTTGCTTGTGAGGTGGGAAGCTGTCACCTGAGAAAAAAGCTAATATTGCCAATCCATTGTCCCTTTCTTTGCTCTACTTATGAGCCGTGATTGGAATCAATGAACTTAGTAAAATGTATTCTGCTTTAAAAACATGCTCGGTTACCTTTAAAAATATTTATCATCACAAATTACTGGTTTTATTTTCAGAGTCGTCATTAAAAAAACCAGACAAAACACTTACATGTCCACATTCATTAGATCAGAGGAGTATTGTTCTCAAACAGTTGGTTTTCACATGACAGCTAAATATTTCATTGTGACTAAGCTATTTCATGAAAATCTTCCTAATGTTGTCTATGTACAATACGTAAATATCCCTGTTCATTTACAAACAAACACATTTTGTGTCATGCTATTTTGAAACTTTGACTGCAATGCCTATGGGTATTCCTCCAACAAAAGGAATGTTCATACAAAAATTTAAAAGGGAATGTTCACCTAATGGGTGAATGACAACATCAGTAACAAAAAAATGTTAGTGACCATAAAATGCAAAAGAGTTTTTTGAAACACTGGAATTCTAAATGACTGGCCTGGTCCTGGGGCTGCCATGTCTGACCTGGACATCACCATCTCTTCTGAATTTTCTGTGATCTAGAAGCCCTTAAAATCCATTGCCTCAGTTCCTCATATGACTTCAAGTAGGACCCTGCTTTTTAAAAAATTCAACCCAGAATTCAGGTTTTGGACTCCAATGTGACAGGAGTGTCATCACAGCTGCAGAGGTGCTGTTGAGTCCCTGGCCCATGGGACCAAGCCTCTGGTTCTGATGCTTTGTCAGATGAGAAATCCTTTATCCATCCATTTAAATAACAATGCAAAGTTCTATAATAGTGCAATTTTGGCAAAAGCAAGAAATATTGATGGCCTTTCAAAGGCCAGGCAGTGAAAAAACTATTGGACAAAGTGTGGACTGCTGTCTGGACTAGTGCTATGGTGTCCCCCAGGAAGGGGCCTGTGGGGTATGCATCCATCATGTGTCCACCTCGCCATTGATGTTATCTTGTGATGACAGCAGAGAGGGATATGGAGCGACGCATTTCACATTCACATAAGTAGCATTCACGTGGACGTAGTGTTCCCCGATGAAAGTAGAGAAGATGGCTGAGATCCTGGAGACCAGTTCAGAAAAGGATGGGCGCATTTCGGCTTTAGGGTGCCAGCATTTTAGCATCACTTCATACCTGTTTCAGAAAGAAAGAAATGCTGTGAGAGACCCCTTGAAGACAAGCATTTCTGTAAAAGTAAAGAATATAAGAGGTACAGAAAGGAGATCATGTTGCAATTCCTACTTACAAGGGGTCGGGGCAGTACTCGGGTTGTAAGAGCCTTCTGCCTTGCAACAAATAAACAGTTATATCAAAGGTGTTCACGTCAGGATAAGGTGGGGCGCCTCTTGTCATCAGCTCCCAGAGGAGCACGCCAAAGGACCACTAGTAAAACAAAGAAAAAGAGAGTCCAGGTGAGAGAAGTGTGACCACACAAAATATGAAAGAAAATCAGTAGGTATTCATAACTAAGCCTGGCTTAACATATTCAATACTATTGCTGCTTTGGGCAAAAATTTCTTTAAAGGCAATTGATAGCTGTATATTTCATGACCTGTTTGAACCAGAATCAGATTAGGTTTAGATTACAAGTAAATTGTAAAGTTTTCAAGAAGAATATCTGAAGTCTACGTGATTAAGATTTCATCTGTAGTGAATAGAGAACATTTTCCAAGTTCTCTTTTGTAGGGTCAAAGCACTAACATGTTTCTATCTTTCTCTCTTCCAATAGTTTCATTATACTTTTACATTATTAGTAAATGAAGCAAGATAAAAGAGGCCATTCAGAATTTAAATTGTGGGATTTCAAAATGAATATAAATACTCTTCAAGAAATGTGATCATATCTAAACGTTAATGTTAAAAGGGAAGGTTCGAATCAGTATAGGTAAAAATTCACATTAAAAATCAGAAATAATAAAACTCCTAGGCAGCAAATCTATTTAAAATTAATTTTAATAACTATAATTTGAAAATGTTATAGTATGAGATTCACAAAAAAGAGCTGTAACAGTACTTTACAGGAAGATCACAGGGACACAGAAAGGTTATATGACTTGCTAAAAATCCCCCACACATCTGAATCCACATTGGGATAAACATTTAGGAGTTCTTGACCTTTGGGTCCTGGTTGGTCTACTGAACTTCAGCAACTATGCAATTTCTTGATTTAAATCAGTCTACCCAGCATAGTTGTCACATGTATAATCTCCCCCTGGATGTGTGTGCCCAGGCAAAAACAACACCAGGAGACTAAGTCCCCATGAGTAAGTCACCCCTGTGCAGAGGACCCAGGAAGGCAGTTCTCACTCAGTAACCACTTCCAGGCTACTCCCAGACGAAGAAGCACAGTGGGAAGAAATGAGGCCCTAAAGAAAAATAAGCTTAGAGGGGAAGGAAGATCCAGACCAGACAGGTGGACTAAGAAAAGATAAAACTGAGAGGCAAGTGTAGCTTGTCATATTCAGCAAGAAGGAGAATGAAGCATGCCTTTGAACATTGTGACTGAAAGAAAGAAACTGGGTAGATACTGTAGTTGCTGATACAAATTTCCAATAATGACTCTTTGTCTTTGCCCAAGTGCAAGAGCCCTTGAAGGCCACAGACTGCCTTGATCCAAATAGAAAACACAAACCACTTTCCAGGTGGCAGATAGATAAGTTTGCTGTCTAATTCAGCCTTTTGGAATGGAAGTTTTAAAAGCCTGGAAATCTTAAGAGTCATTTCTGACAATATCACTGTGTTAACCTTTAGGTTTCAGAATATACATTAAAATTTAAATCAATTTAGCAAGCATCTTCTGACCCTTGATAATGTACAAGTAGGTTACTGTCCAAGTTACTGAATAGGTCCCAAGGCTGAAGGAACAGGGTTAAGAGTATCATGTGGATAAGTGTCACACAGGGCGATAAGATAATAACTTATATAGAACAATAATATCAAAGAGGTACAAGGGTTGTGAAAGTCAGATAACAGGGGCATACTGAGAAAGGCTTCCCAAAGAGAGTGACAGTAAAGCAGGTCTTAAGGAACGAGGAAAATGTGTTTTACAGCTACCTGTAATCTAAGGGCAGAGAGAGAGTTGCAGGTGGAGGAGGTGGGGCCAGGCATAAGAGTACACACGTTTTTATTGAATGGTAAGAATAATAGGTCACACTGCTTGACGTGCTGAGTAGGTGAAGGGGTTAAGGATAGATAAGGTGGAAATGGCTCTGTGCTTGGGAGGTTTTTAACTCCCATCCAAGCACTAACCAGGCCTGAGCCTGCTTAGCTTCTGGGATCAGATGAGATCGGGCACGTTCAGAGTGGTATGCCATAGACTTGGGAGGTTTTTAAATGTTGAAAGTGGGTTAAACTAAAATCGATGGGGCATGACTGAAGTGCGCTCTGGGAGATGGCGTCTGTAAATACTATGCTTAAGACAAATAGGAGAAGCTGATCCACAATACGGACACCAGTGAGGAGGTTTCTGAATAGGACTAGGTGGGGGTGCTACTGCAGACTGAGGGCTTTTCTTTGGAATTGGGGTGGCGAAAGAGAGTTGTCTGTCATATAATGATTCATGCAAGGGCGTTATGTCCTTTAAAAAAATTATCTTATTTAAACCTTATAATGGATTGCAGTTGGCTACGACTCTGTAATGTAATTGGTTTTGTTTTAAGGATGAGAAAATCAAAGTTTTGAGAGGCTGATTAAGAGGCTGATTTTGGGATCAAATTCTCCTGATAGCCTAGGCTATGTATATATAGATTTGGCTGGAGACATAGTAACAAAAAAGGCAGCAGAGTTGGATAAATTTCTGCGGAATTATAGGACTTGGGCAATAACTGGTTATCAGAGAAGCACTGGAGGAAGGTAAGACATGAACAAAAGAAGGACAAAACAGACAATGTGAACAAAGGAGATGCTGAGTAAGAGAACATTCTATAACAACAACAAGATAAAGGTGACCGCAAGTGTCACGGCATGTTAGGGTGGATAGGAAAGTGAGACATAAGTAGAGAAGACACAAAAACAGCATAAACAAACAGGATGGGGAGTAAGAGAACATACTATAACAATGACAAGATAAAGATAACTGCAGTGTCACAAGAAACAGAAACAACACAGGCCACATTATAGGACATTGCAGTTTGTCCCCCCTCCCCCATGGGCTTTGGGTGCCACCACACATCTGGGCTGAACCATATAAGGTGAAAATTCCCCCACCCAATGGCAGGGAGGAGACAACATCCCAATTGGTCAAGAAAAAAGGAGAAGAGACAATGCCACAAAGGAGGAGAGGCCAGATGGGAGAAAAACGGATGACACAGAAACCCCAGGGCCACTGTTTGTTTAGATGTATGTCGACTCCTACCCTCTTAGGAGTGTACTGTCACTTGCTAATAAACTTCTTTGCTGGCTGATATAAACTGTTGTGTCTCCTGCTTTCGTTCTTTGATAGTGAAGAGACAAGAGCTGAAGTGTTCACATCAACCACCGGTAACAATGGGATGGGGAGGTGGGAGGGAGGCAGTTTCCAGGAAAAGTACTATATTAAAGGCAACCCAACTCCCCTTACAGCAGCCAGGAGTGGCGAGAGGATGGGAGAGGGGACCATGAAAGAGGAGAATGATGCTAGGGAGCTGACCAAGAAGAGAGAAGCTGGTGTGTGTGTGTGTGTGTGCACACGTGTGCGAGGCGAGGGGGAGGGAGGTGTGCAATGTGCGTGCGTTAGGAGAGGTGGGACCAGGTCAGTTTCAGCCTCGAGGCAGGACAGCTCTGTCTTTCATGCGTACTATTTGACGTTGGTCAAGCTAGTTTGGACATCTGAGCACCAGCATTTGAAGAACTGGTCTAACTTTATCAAAGGGCAAGATCAAAGCAGTTATTAGATGTGAGAGAAGGTCATAAGCTATAAAAAGTGATAGGAGAAAAATAGGTAGAAGATCTGATTAGACACTTCACTAAAGGCAACGTGAGGATGGCAAATGAGCACACAGAAAGGTGCTCAGCGTTATTAGTCATTATGGAAATACAGATTAAAGAGAAGATGAGACACCAATATAACCAATTAGAATGGCTAAAAACTAAAAAACTGACAATGCCAAGTGCGGGTGAGGATGCTAAACAACTTGAACTCTAATAGACTGCTGTGGGAATATAAAATGATACAGCCACTTTGGAAAATAGCTGGCAGTTCTCATGAAGTTGGACATACATTTATCTTATAACCCAGTAGTATTACTCCTAGGTATTTACCCAAAAGAAATAAAAATTACGTTGACACAAAAACCTTTAAGCAAATGTCACAGCAGTTATAATTAAGTATAAGTAATTGCCTGAAACTTTAAAGAAACCAAATGTTCTTCAACTGGCGAATGGACAAATAAAATGTGATACATCTGTGCAATGAAATACTTACTCAGTAATAAAAGGAATAAACTACTCTGCTATGGAAAACTCTGTTATGCAGTTTTTGGGGGGTTCCTAAAATATTCAGCTTAGAATTACTGCATGATCCAGCAATCCCACTTCTGACTATATATCTAAAAAACTGAAAACAAGATCTCAAAGAAAATTTTCACAACCATGTCCATAGCAGCACTATTCACAATAGCCAACAGGTAGGAGGAGCCTAAATGTCCGTCAACAGATGAATAGATAAAGACAATGTGGAATATAAAAAAGGAATATTATTCAGCCTTAAAAAAGAAGGAAATCTTGTCATATGCTACAGCAGGGATGAACTTTGAGAACATTATGCTAAGTGAAATAAGCCAGCCACAAAAAGACAAATACTGCATGATTCCACTTATATGAGGTATCTAAAGTAGCCAAATACTTAGAAAGTAGAATGGTGGTTACCAGGGCCTGGGGGAGGGGAATGGAGAGTTGTTCAATGGATATAGAGTTTCAGTTTTGCCAAGATGAAAAAGTTCTAGAAATTTATTGAACAACATTTATATGGTCAACACTATGTATTGTACACTTAAAAATGGTTAAGATGGTAAATTTTATGTGTTTTTTGCCACAATAAAAAGAGGACTAAACTACTGACACAATGATACAATTGATATAACAACATGGATGGTTCTCAGATGCATTATGATGAGTGAAAGGAAACAGACTCAAGAGGCTACTGACTGTAAGATTCCATTTATACGATATTCTAGAAAAAGTAAAACTATAGAGAAAGAAAACAATCTGTGATTTCCAGGCCTTAGGGGTAGGGTAATGGCTGACCACAGAGAGGCATAAGGAAATTTTCTGGGCTGATGCAATGGTTTTATGTCCCGATTGTGGTGGTGGTGGTTACATAACTGCATGCATTTGTCAAAACTTGAAGAACTGTACACTAAAAAAGGGAGGAGCAGGTAAATCACACAGTGCTGATGCCATTAATAGAAATCAGGATGTGAGGAATTGCCAGTTAGGCAGGAAAATATTTGATTTTAAACATGGTAAATTTGTGATGCCGATGACGACATACAGGTAGACGGGATCTAAGGAAACTGTCGATGGGAATGGTTGCAATTATTAAGGGACAACAACCCTGTTGACAAAAGTCCTGGGGGACACCTACATCTAAGCAGTGAGAGAAGGAAGAGAAGCATCACAGATAAAGAGAACACAACCGAGAAGCAGGAGGAAAACCAGATAGTGCAGTGTCCCAGAAACCAAGGAAAGTGGAGATTTCAAGAAGAAAAGGGTGGTCTACATCTTAAATGCCTCGGAAAGATGAGGCAGGATGAGGGCTGAGAAAAGCCAGTTGGACTGAACAATAGAGAAGTCAATATAGACTTTAATGAAAGAACTTGCACGAAGTGTGCAACACTGTACAATACCAGCTATGAGTAATTTCAAGTGTAGTAACATGCCAATTTTGTTTGAATGGACTTAAAGAGTATTCAGACTTTAGTCAAACTCCATTTGGGCATTTTCTGGAAAGAGAACCTGATTTACAAGCAGGCAAGTCATTGCTTGTAGGTTTCAATACACACACAGCACATTACACGCTTTTGGAAATATTCCCTGTCAACATCCAAAAGATTGTGCTGCCCCAGAAGTGAAACTTTGTGCACATTTATCCATGCAATCAGTAACCACATTCCAAAGTTGCATTGTGTACGGATTATTCAGGTTCAGCCTTTATGTAGTACCGTATAGTGTCTTTCAAAGAAAAGGAGAGAGAAATAGCAATGTCCTAGCTGCCGAAGCCTATGTAAATTTCCAGTCAAGTACTTAAGTAACGGGTACTGTGTGAGAAACACTGGTTCCCGTGCTGTCCGTGTTCCGTGTTTGTCAGGGAGGAGGTGGAGTGGGGTGTGTGTGTGTGTTTGTCTGTCAGAAAAAGCTCAGAATCCCAACTCTTGCCTTGAACATCTAAAATATCATCTCTTTTTTAAAACAGCTTTGCTGAGTTATAATTTATAGCTCATAAAATTCACCAATTGTAAGTGGATATAGTCAATGATGTTTAGGAAATTTATGCAGTTGGACAGTTATCACAATCCAGTTTTGGATCACTTCAACACTCTAGAAATTTCCCTCATGCCCATTTGTAGTCAATCCTCATTCCCACCCTCAGCCCTAGGCAACCATTGATTTGTTTTCTCTATATATAGTTCTGCCTCTTTCTAGAAATTTCATATAAATGGAATCATTTAACACGTAAACTTTGGAGTCTGCCTTCCTTCAGGTAACATAATGTTTTCAAGGTTTACTCATGTTGTAGCATGCGTAAATAGTTCGTTTATATTGCTGAAGGGTATTTTCTCATTGTATTGATACCACATTTTGTTTATCCACTCACCAGCTGATGGACATTAGCATTACTCCCGGATTTCGGCTATTATGAATAATTCTACTGTGGTCATTCATGTTCAAGTCTTCATGTGAGCACATATTTTCATTTCATGTGCTTATTAACTAGCTATTCATACATCTCTTTGGTAAAATGTCTATTCAAATCATTTTCCTACTTTAAAAAATGGGCTATTTTGTCTTGTCTATGGTTTGAATGTATTCTGCAAAATGCATGTGTTGGAAACTTAGTCTCCCCCGATGCCAAGAAGGGCTCTGCCCTCATGAGTGGATTAATGACATTATCTCGGGAGTTGGTTCATTATTGCTGGAGTGGGTTTGTTATAAAAGCAAGTCTGGCTACTTCTTGCTCTCTCACGCATACACTCCTGGCCATGTGATACCTTTCACCACATTATGGTACAGCAGGAAAGCCCTCGCCGTATGCAGCCCCTTGATCTTGGACTTCCCACTCTCCAAAACCATGAGCCAAATAAATTTCTGTTCATTACAAATCACCCGGTCTGTGGTATTATTATGGCAGTACAAGGCAGACCAAAGTAATCTTCTTATCATTGATTGTGAGAGTTGGCTCTGGCTCTTAATGGCAGACTAACAGTTGGGTCTGAATGAATAGTATGGACTCCCTACCTTATGCCTTCACCTGCCACTGTCCCTAACATGTCCCCAGCCTCCCTCCTTAGCACCAATTTCTTTCAGAATCTTTCTGGATTAAAATACCAGGAATTAAGCTCTCCCAGGGGCTGTCACTTTTTCTTATCCATCTGATGCACCCTGAAGTCCCAATCCTCCACCATGACCTATGATACACTTATTTACTGAAAACTAACCCCAGTCACCTCAACTTATTCTGTAACATTTCCTCCACCTCCTCACAGGTGTTGAAATTCTGCTTTCAATCAAAGACCATAATTTCTTGGAACTCTTACCAATGCGGGCCACACCTCTCCCTCTTGCTGATGCACAGGGAGGTGGGTGAAGTGACTTCTCACTTCCCAACACTGCACTCAGATCCCCGCCCCTGTCATCTCTCAATTGCTGCCAACCTTTTCTCTTTTCAAGCCCATGCCCCCCAGAAACCTTATTTCCTGCCCACCTTGTTTGCTGACATCAGGGTCTGTGCATTTCCCTTTTTCAGTTGTTATCGTCAAGGACCGAAACATCAAATGTTTCTCTACCTGCAGACATCCCAGTCCTCTTGACTTACTGCATGTGAACAGAATAAATGTCCTTTCCATTCCATTCGACACCCGGGGGCCTCAGCACACTCCAGGCCACTCAAGTTACTTGGCTTCCAAGACCCTTCTTGTGGTGCTGAGACTCAGTGGACCCTGCTCACCATCCCATTTCTTCTTGCAACTTTCTCTTCTTCTGCCTTCCATGGTGGTCTCATCTCCTGGGTCCCCTATCTCTCTGCTCTTCTCCCTCACTTTATATATCCCGCTACTGGATAATTGCTTTTGGACTCTTAAGTGCATACTCCCAGCTTTGACCTCTGCTATGCACTGAACTGTGTTCCCCAGAAGTTCAAATGTTGACTCTCTAACTCCCAATGTGACAGCATTTGTAGACAGGGCCTTTGAGAGGTAATTAGGTTTTTATGAGGTCCTGAGGGTGGGGCCCTGTGACGGGATTAGTGCCCTTATAAGAAGAGACACTAGAGAACTTGCTCTTGTTCTCTCTTGGCCATGTGAGGACATCGAGAGAAGGTGGCTACCTACAAGCCAGAAAGAGATCTCTCACCAGACCCTGACCATGCTGGCACCCTGATCTTGGACTTCTAGCCTTCAGAATAGTTAGAAATAAATTTCTGTTTTTTAAGCCAACCAGTCCATGGTATATTTTTACAGCAACCCAAGCTGAGTAAAGCAACCTGTTTAACAATCTGCATATCCTCATTTCCAACTGCCTGATGGACTTCTGGGTCTGAATGGCCTACTCCCAAGTTAAACTCAGTGTGTTCAAGGCTCAACTTGTTATTTTTCTTCCTATTCTGCTTCTGTTTCTGTGCTTCACATATTTGTTATTGCACCAGGATTAACTTTGCTTATCTTTGGCTCCTATCAATTCCTTGATAAATACTGTTGATTCTGCTTCTGAGAGGCTTCTCCTTCCATAGTTTCCTTTCCAGTCTCATTTCTATGTAAGTTCTACCCCTCACTTTATCTTCTTGCTTCCATTCCTTTCAAGTCATCTTACAGAACGAAGAAAGATTGCAATCTAATCTGATTACATTTTTATGTTTCCACTTGGCCAGAGAGTAAATTCCAGACTTTCCAGACTCTCTAGTTTCGTTTTTAAGGACTTCTATGATTTAATAGTATAAATATATTTTTCTCAACTTCTTATAACTTCCCTCTGTGCCTTCCATTCTTGCCAATTATGTACACCGATTATGTACTGTGTACGTAAGGGAATATAAAAGATCCTCATACTTTCCTGCTCCTTTGCCTCACCTGGATTGGTATTTCCATTCACCCAGCTGCCCAATTACAAACTTGCTATACTTTAAGGCCTATTTCAAATGTCAACTCCTCCTTAAGGTATAAGGTGGTATGGTGGAACTGGCTGTCCAGCTGAGTGTCTTGCAGGGACCATGCCCTCACTGCTAGGCCTGTCTCAGTTACAGCTTCCAGATTTCTCAAGGTGGAATTCATGCTGCCCCTGGGCTATGAGAGTCAGGGCTAATTCCAGTCCACCTGTGTCACAGTCACTGATGGTCATTTCTTCTCTTCCCTTATGAGCACAAACTCCTGAAACACTGGATTCATGCCTGGTTCAGCTCTGGGCTTCCTAAGGAGTCAGTAGGGTGCCCCTCTTGATAAATATTTTTGAATAAATGAGTGAATTTATAAAAATAAACTACGGGTACCTATCAGACAATAAAGTCCCTTTTTATATGTGAAGAAAACTGAAATTAGTGATGTGAATTTTTTATTTTTAATGAAGTAGAACTAAAACTACAAAGAAAGTTGGGTGTGAAAGTAAGAAAAGAAAGTCAGGCATGATCAGTACATTACCACATCTGACTTGGTGGTAAACTTCTGAGTTTGCAGGCTTTCCAAAGCCATCCACTTCACTGGCAGCTTCGCACCTGTCTTGTTGTGTACACTGTAGTATTCTTTATCATACATATCTCTGGCAAGGCCAAAGTCAGCAACTTTGACAGTGAATTTTTCATCCAGCCTACAGAAAGGACAAAAATTATTATTGGTGGTTGAAACAGAATAATTCACAATGATGCTGAATATCTATAGATTAGAACAAGTGGCTTCAGTATTTGAAGTCTATGACTTCTGAAGGGAGTGTTTCATCTGGCTTCTATTGACTAATGCTAAATTATAACAGAATTCTTGAATAAAAATGTTTGACATTTACATTACAAATTCAACAGCCCAAGAAAACAGATCATGCATGGTATGGCATAAGAAAATCCTTTTTTTTTGCTTTAATGGAGAACTGGAGAAGCAGTATAGCTGTCTCTCCTCCCAGCTTTCCTTGGTTGCTAAATAGAGTATGCCAACTGACTACTACCCAAGCAATCGCCAGTCTTCACTTGTCAACTTATTAGCAAAACTCAGTTTTATGGGAGAGCACAACAGGAGGCTATTATTTTACTTTTCCATTCTCAAATGGGCTAGGTTAACACATAAAACACATATACCCCACGACTGAGGTATTATAGAAATAGGATACACAGTAGAGCATTGAAGAAAAACAGCAAGGTTCAACAAAAATCAATTTCTGCTGACTGGGGCTATGCATCCTTTGTCCAAGCTGGCTTTTATGTTGTTACATTGACCCAAACCAAGGTGGGAAACTAACAGCACAGCTCTTTCATTCACACATACCATAAGTCATGAATCAGTGCTGTGCAAGGGAAAGCACTGAATCAATTACAAACTGTTGACTGTTGTGTCATACAGTCAGGCAGCCAGACACAAATAAAGTTCTTTGTATATTCATTCCCAAATACCATTTTTGGTAGAGCTTCTTCAGGCCAACTTCAAATCCACTCTTGGGAAGTTACAATATATTGGTATTTGTGTTACCACCCCTCTCCTTTTCACTGTGTAATGCCGCAGATCAAATTCTCCCTCCCAAACACTAATGCAGTGTGAAACCACAATGTTGGGGGCTACTGGTGGGAAGGCCTAAGAAAAGCAAACGAACACAGCAGCTGTTTAAGACCCCCTATGGAGAATCCCTTTTTACATTCTCTGTTTGATAAAGCCCCGCCCACATCCCCTAGGCGTACTCATGGATTTAAAACTGTAACGGAAATAAAGGACTTTTGCATAAGAAGAGAAAACAGCCTCACTAGCATAGAGCAATGGGAAACAGATTGCTCCTTGTCACTTAATTTGGACTGCAGGCACAGACACATTCTAATACTTACATACAGTTTCTTGCAGCCAAGTCTCTGTGGACAAACTTTTTGCTTGCAAGATATTTCATGCCTTTGGCTACTTGAAGACCAAAGCCAATAAGATCTTTTACAGTTGGGTTCTGCAATCAAAGAGAGTTGGAAAAGCATAAACTAAGCATCTACCGTTTTAAACTCTGATCTGAGAATTCTGAAATGTTTATTTATAAAAATTATCTAGTCTCAAAAAAATAACTTGTACCCTATTGATTGCATCGACCATTTAAGTGTCTATTATTGTATGCAAAGCACTGGGTTAAATGTTTTTAAAAAAATTATGGCTAATTCTCATACACTCCTGTAAGGCAGGTGTTACAGGCTCTCCATTTTCCAGATGGGGAAATGGAAGTGTTTTAAAATGTAGGTTTTATTATTCTTCAGGTATGATGAGGCCAACAGATCAGGAGACAATTGCCATTGAAAAGATAGTTTGCTACTCGCAGATTCCAAGAGGAAGGGCCCCCGTGTCACACAGGGCCACACAGGAACACTAGGGATGGGTGGGGGCGGAGGGAGTGAGGGGAAACATGGGAAGGAGCCTTTACTGCAGTTTCCTTGGGAAGGAATGAGCGAGGTAGGGAAAGTAGGTTTAGGATTGGCTAATTTGCATAATTTCCATTGGCTCTAGGGTATAGGGGCTGTCCCTAGGAGTGTGGTACTTGGCCCTGGGGTGATTAGGGTAGGTGGATAGTGGCCCAGAGTGTGAGAGGCTGATAAAGGAGGCGGCTGGGGTCTGGGCTCTTGATTGGTTGATTTGCATATGAAAGGAAGGCAAGTTGTTAACCATCTCCAGCAATTAGCTAGCGCTGGGAGGGGCATTCCCTCCAGGTCAGCAAGGCCCCAGAGGTCAAAGCTTCAGAAACCCATTGTTAACATAGGAGGCTCAGAGAGAAACCAAACCACTCAGATGGTAAGTGGTGGAGTTGGGATTTTAACCTAAATCTGTTAGGCTGCAAAGGCTACACCCCAGTGAAATCAGAAGCCCTCCTGCTGGTACCGAAGCACCAGCCCACAGCTCCAGAGGCGCTGGACCCACAAGGAGAATAGGACACAGCATTCTCTGCAAGCTCCATCCACAAAATTGTCTGGACAGAGAAATGCCTTCAGTAACTATAAGAACTGTATCTGAAAAAAAAAAAAAAAAAAAAAAGAACTGTATCTGAAATGATAAACTACTCAGGCCGGCAGCCCTGACCAGGACCCGTGTATTAGAACAGGATATTTCCTCAGCTGCCACTGTGGAGTTTGTAAGTGCAAGAGGTAGTCCACTGGGACCCTGCAAGAAGGGTTAGGGTTAGTCCCTTGTGGTTTAGGCCTCTCTTTAAGGCACATCTGTGTTCGTGGTTGTCATTAGTATTGACTCTTTGGGCTAAAAAAAGGCCAAGGATACTATTCTGTACTAGATAATAGGAAATCTCTATCATGCTTTAACCTTGGGGGAACAATACCCTAGAGAAGGAAGCACATCCAACCAGATTAATTCACCAGGGAAATGACGAGAGTTAAAGTGAGAAAGTGGGATCTGTCCAGGACAGCTTTGTGCTTTATAAGGTAAATTCACCTTATCAGCAAAATATTCACTGCCAGGGAGTGTTGTATTCTTTTGGCTGAATGCAAAATATTTCTTTACTGTTCTGAAGCTTATTTTCTCCGAGAACTTGACCCCATATTTGTGAAGTTGTTTTTGATTAACAGTAAAGCTGCTCCATTCGCTCCCACAGAGAAGGAGCCTGTGAATTCAGTTTTGGGGACTCTGCCCCCCACCCTGCCTGGCCCCCGCCCAGCCAAAACCTGCTTACTCGTTAGGTCCTGGCATAAATGTCTTAAAGAAAATTCCCACTTGCAAGAGCCTAAGCAGCTTTTTTGCAACCCTGGGCTCATTCATTCAACAAATATTTACTGAGAGCTATGTGCCGAACATTATTTTAGGTGTTAGAGCCACAGCAATGAACAAAATACACAAAAGCCCCTGCCTTCATGAGCTTGCATTCCAGTGGGATTGAGTGTGTACACATGTATACACCTATACAGACATATGTGCACATACATATACAGCTATTATTTATTTCCTTATTGTCTAGTAAAGCACTATTCAATAGAAATATAACGTATGCCACATATGTAATTTAAAATTTTCCAGTAACCATATTAAAATAAAAAGAAACAAGTGAAATTAATTTTCACAATATATTTTTGAACCCAACACATCCAAAATATTATTATTTCAACATGGCATCAATATGAATAATCATTAATGAGATAATTTACCTTCTTTTTAAAAAGTGATGTATTCAGAATCTGGGATGCATTCTACACTTATGATATATTTCAATTTGAAATGGCACCTTTCACACGTGACTCATGGCCATAGTATTGGACAGCTTAGGCCTAGAGTATCAGATGATAAGTGTGATGAAGGAAAACAGAGCAGGGGAAAGAGAACTGACTGAAGGCTTCAGGGTGGGTGGGTCTGTTGCAATTTTAAATAGGTCAGGGAGGCCTCATTTTGAAGGCATTAGGGCAAAGAGCTGAAGATGAAGAAGAGAGATATGTGAATATTTGTGGGAAGAGTGTTCCAGGCAGAGGGAATAGCAAGTGCAAATGTCTGAGGTAGGAGAATGGGTGGCAAGCAGAAGAAACAGCAAGAGACTCATTTGTAATTAATTCTTCAATGTCTTCTAGAGTTAAAATGCCATATGGGCTGACGCTCGCTCTGCCTCTATTTCTCCTGCACCGTGCTCAGTTTCTGGCATGTAGTAGGAACTCAAAGATGACTAAATGTACTTATCAGGGGTCAGGTAGAGCAAGGCTGCCTACAGGGCAAGTAAGAATCATTGCTCCAGGAAACCCTTCAAGGTGTCACTATCTTCCTGCCAGGATAGAAAATTTTGAGGTACATTTGAACAGTGTTAACATCCTACAAAGTTCATGTTTGGCTAATAGCTTTTTAAAAGATCCAAAGCAAGCCCATTCTGAAGGGTTGACTGGCTTACGGCTAGTTTACCAGTTAGTAAGCTTGGCAGTATACGTACATGTGTCTCATTTCGAATGAAATTTCGAAGATCTCCATGTTTCATGTATGGTAAGACCACCAGGGGAGACCCTTCGCTTCGCAGGCAGATTCCCAACAGGGACAGGACATTGGGATGGCTGAAATCTTTCATGATGATTCCTTCAGTAAGAAACTGGGAAACTTCTCCTATGTCAGTGATTCCTGAGAAATCCAGTGGTGGAGACATTAACTTCATTATGGAGGAATGAATACTTTGTCAAGTTTAGATGGGAAGAGCAGTGAAATATAAAACCATAGAGCTAACATCTTGTCCTGAGGCTTCAACCTCAGCTTGTTCTTTTCACAATACATCTGAGTGAATGATGTCACCTTGCACTGTGCCTTCAAGTCACCACCTACACCCACTTTTGTAAGACACAGTCCAGCAACCAGTTTGTCTCACAGAAACTTAGTCCAATGTTTGTACTTGGTTTTCATATAGACTATCCCTTTAGTTACCTCTTGGTCAGACTTTGAACAAAATTAATCCTACAGAAGGCTGTTCAGCATGGAGATTTATATTTTTAAAAAAGACTGAAATAGTTGTAGCAATAATATATGTTGCAAACTTTCCATTTGTTTATTTAAAGCTTATTAATCTCAATATGTTTGTAATATAGCTGGTTCACATTTTTCAGGCTGCTGCAAATTGTAAGCAGAAAATTAGATATGGAAGTAGAAAAAGCAAGCATGTGAGACCTCTCAACAAAGGTGGAGCCAGGAACACTCTAGTATGTGGAGTATGTCGGGTTGTATAAGGTAGTAATTTATGGCCATAATTATAGCTCTTGGGTCATCAATAAAGATTTAGTTTATGTTTGGAAGCATTCCCTGTTTCTTAAACAAAGTATGTATTTAGTCTTAAAAAGATTTTTCTCAATAACCACTTCAATTTTAAGAAATATTCCAGCATTTAAAAGGAGGTAAGTTTCAGTTATTTAGGAAGTTCATTTATGTGGAATACCTCATTCCCCAAAAATGCGGATAAATGAGGTATTACCATACTTCTGATTTTTCAATTTTCTGCCAGCATATTTTTCTCCTGTTTGTCTTATTTCATTTTTTATCTTTTTTTAATGGAAGTTGTGGTTAAAAAATAATTATAGTAATGCCTCCGGGTAATATGAGTCATTACTACTGTATGTGCCAACATGCTTCCAATAGTTTCCATAAATGTCACTTGCAAAACAAATATTAAAGCCAAACAGTTAAATGATAGTTCATCCAAGAACCTAATTTCTCTCACATTGTTACTTATGAGTGTTCTGAGGGATAATTTCAGAGGATATATTACAACAGGAGTTTAGAACAAACAAATTTTTCAGGATTAGACCCATAATTTTAGCAGTGGCTGATTTTTCTACAAGGGAAAGTGTAAATCAACATTTTATTATAAGCCATTTGTTAGTCTGCAAACCACCAGAAGTATAATCCACTGCTAAGTAAAATTTAACTTACTATTTAAGGATTTCACAGCACAGTGAATTTTCTTGCCATCATTGTCCAACAAAGTCCCATGATATACACAACCAAAATGCCCTGTGTGAAAGAGGGAACTTGGTTAGTGCTGCATAACATTTATGCAATAATTATTTATCAAGCCCTTCATGGCCTTCATTTCCTTTTATTCTATATGGCGAAAAAGTGCATTTTAAAAATACTTTTGATTAACAACACCACTCTGTGTGTGTTTGCATGCAGATGTAACACATTTCACCCAAGGATATAAGCAATATGATTATTATATGATAAAAGCCATAGGTGATATGACTGTTATTAAAGGCTAATATAACAAAATATTCAACCATAATGGAACCAGTGAAAACAGAAATAACGTCTCCCTCATAAAAATAGCTGTTATTTTCAAGGATTAAATCATATTTTTCAAATATGAAAATAAAGTTTTAACTACACGAGGAAATGTAATAAAATAAGTTCCCTATATTCTAATAAACTGAAATGAAACAAAAATGTTACCACCAGAAATAAGATTAGTATTATAGAATAAGGATTTCCCCCATTAGTCACTGGTTAATCCGCAATCCAGGTTGGCAGAAACTGAAAGGCAGTTGCCCAAATGAAGCAACTTCACTCTGACTCATTTCATCCAGTTCTCTCTGGCTTTAAACACATCATCTTCCCAATGGTAGCCTTTCATCCAGTGGCAGTAATTTTCCGCAGAGGTGCCAAATGTCTGATAGCTGTGTAAGTCATTAATTAATTCATCCTTCCAGCTAAGACACCCTGAGTGCCTGGTATGTCAGGCATTAGACTACCCTCTGGTAATGCAGAGGTGAACAAAATAAAACCTGTGCTCTTGAGTGCTAACATTCTCCTGGAGAAAAACATATAAATAAATAGTAGCTGATATTTATACAATTGTTAGTAATTATTACTTCAAAAGAGAAATAAGTGCCATTTTAGCACCATTCATGATAAAAAAAAATTCTAATTTTACAATGTGTAGAGTCAGAACACAATTAGTGAGGCCACACACTCTAAAATTGGTGCAATTACTGGGATTTACAGGCCCATGAAAGAACTATATACTACTCTGACATGAGACGTGGAAACATGTTTGGTAACACTGGAAGCATTTTTGGGGAAGGAGAAGCATGATAAGGACCATACTCTGGAGCGTGTGAAAGAGGAATGTGCGTGGATACTGCCACCTGAAAACAAGAGGGCCTCAGGTTGACATAAGGCAAATCATCACATCAGCTTCTTCTGCATCTTGCTGGCACATGCCTCTGCAACTTCTTGCAGCATACACAGAAAATAAAAGGGATCAGAAGCCATTCAGTATTAAGGGCAAAAGCTTTTTGGAAATACAAGAGAAGAGTGGAGTTCAGTTCTTGGCTTCTGGTTGGCTTCTTTTCCTGCTAAACATTTCCTCAAATACTGTTTATGCTAGCTGTGATTACTGCCCTGGCTAGCTTATTACAAATATTCGTTCCTCTTTGTATAAAGAAATTGGAGTGCATTGTGGAGATGATATATGTTGCTTCAGATCAGGGAATGCTATAAATTCCCTGTCTTCTGATGCTGTCCAGCAGTGTACACATGCTATAAACCAGGCTTCATAGAGTTTGTTGTAAAAGAGACACGGGAGAGAGATACGAGCGAAAATATCAGAACTTAAAAGAATGATTTTTTAGAATAAAGTAGATGGCACCTTCCAAGAAATCATAGTTGCCAGTATAACTGAAATGAAGAAGAAATGCGATTTAGTTTTCATATGTTTGGGAGATTATCCCATTGCTTCCATGCACAGGGGCAAATCCCTGTGGATATGATTTGCAGGGCTGCGGAACCCAAATCAGGCACACTTGTTATCAGTGCTCTGTCAGTTGCTTTCACCATTGTCTAAGTTCCTAATCTGCAAAGGCAGAAGATAAAATGCTTACTGGAAAATCGTATTTAACAAAAAGCTGAGTGGAAATACTTACCTCTTCCTATGACTTCATTGAAATGCACAATCAGGCTACTGGGCCCAATCACGACGTGCTGCACTGCCTGGACCAGCTCTGGATTTAGAGCACTGAGGTCAATGTGGACAGTATTTTGCAGTAATGGACTGGATATATCAGAGTCCCCACTAGTTAGGATGGGGGACAGGTCTGTCAGAGGGTACTGCACTTGTCTGCATGATCCATTCTGAGATGAGTTAGGAAACTGGTCTGCAAGAATAAAGCAAAATTATTAGAGAACAATAGTGACACCTTACTTAATGGGGACTGCAACAGAGGCAGCAAACTGAATGAACAATAAAGCTTGAATTTTTACAACTAAATAAATGGTGGTTATGTCATTGAATGCGGCTAGGAAGAGCCTTTGCAAAGAAATTGGCTTGATAAAAATGTTAATAGATTGGGAAAAGATACTGGCTTATATACACAAACATTTTATAAAATGTTTACAAATTTTCTTTTAAGTGGACTAAGTGTTAACTTTGAAAGCTTGTTTACCCTCTCCATTTCCTTAGACATTTCTCTTTTAATCGATAGCAAAAGGCCATGCTTGAAGTTTATTTTTGAATATACTACGTCCTTAAGAATGGGAAGCAGCAAAGGTAGTTAAGCAACTGCCTAGTCTCACAAAAATCCAGCTCAAATGTAAGAAAATGAAAACGATGCCTTTTGAGAGACTAGTATTAATGGAATTAATTTCTATTGTGTAAAACCTGTAGGGATTCCTGGCCGAGGGAGTAAAAAATACATATAATTAGAAATAAATAATGGGCTAAACTTCCAGAACTGAAAGCTTTTTGCATTAGTGATAAATTCTCCATTGTGTGGTAATGGAGCACTGGATTTAGTGTTACTGTTGTCTAGAGAGGGCAGTTAAAACTGGATTTGGACACCTTCCACACTGTGCAGTGGACAGCACTTGGAAAGGGGTGCACATTCCTTAAAAGTTGATCTTTAAAACCAAAGCTCTGTAAGAGCCTCAATCAAGGTTCACTTTCTCAAGAAGAAATGTTTTTTCATTTCAGGAAGAAGGAATTGTGCTGAGAGTAAATTTTTAAGTGACAAAGAGTGCAGAGAAGGCACCAGTTGCTTTGCCCTTCCCACCGGGATATCAAGGAGAGGACAATACAACCGCAGCAACTGACTTGAAGATGAAATAGGCATAGGATTGACATGTATTAGTAGACAATACAGGGAGTGGGTTATGTGTAGAGGGGTCCCTACTGGCACCAAAAGATGATAGTGTTTGTTTGTAAAAGGGCAGAGGAATCAAAATTTGAGAGAAGGGCATAAGAAGAAAGCTGATGGAACACTGACTATTCCTAATCCCACTTAAGCATTTTTAGTATTTTCCATAGTGAACAGTTTGATTGATAATAAATGAACTTGCCCAGAGCAGTGACTCTCAAAAGTGATTCCAGAAAAGTTTTGGGTGGCCCCTATGGTCACAGTAGTCATTAGCCAGAAACACGGCAGATACAACCTTAAAGGAAAGATGTGGAACATCAGGGAAGTACTGAAATGCTGAGTGGTTGAGGGAAGGAGGGAGCCTAGCTGGGTGCCTGCTCCTTTAATCCCAGGGAATCGGGTTCTCCAAACCCCTCTCAGAGGGACTGGGAATGCAAGTGAGCCTCTGTAAACTCAGTTTTCATTTTCACTTCCCAAACCTTTGCACCAGGAGATCAGGGTTCTGAATTGTAAGGGGTGCAGAGACTGAGGCAAATCCTTAGTGAGACAGGAAAAAAGTCATTTGGCATGAAAATTCTACTGACCCTTAGCTAAGTATAAAGGTGTAGAAACCAAGTGAACCATCAATGTGTGGCACTGGTGTCAAACCATGGAGAATTCTAGATTTCCATGGAAAAGACTGGTGATAAGGCTGCCCTACCAGATACAGAGAGAAAAGCTCTGCAGTTGCCTCTTCTTTAGGTTCTGGGTGTGCATCTGTTTCCTCATTCTTCTCTCTGAATAACTGTCTTTTGCCTATTTTATCTTTTCACATTTCAGGAGCAGGCTAAGTGTAGAAAAGAAGATTAGAACTCAACTTTCTCAGCAACAAAGACAGAGGTTTGGTGAGTAAAGAAGTTGAAAGAAAATTAGATAAGCTTTAAAAAAATTATTTGTGAAATTTAATGATCTCAGATTAGAGCTATTAAATGTAAATATAAAATACTAAATAGATCTAAGTTTCAAAACTATAGACTAGGTTTGCTTTGTCTATATTATTATAGGAATAGATTTTTAAAGGCTAATGGAATCATGTGGACAAAGACAATGTTTACCACATGTATCTCTATAGAAATAACATAAACTTCAAAAAGTAAGAGGCAGTGAGTATTGAAAAAGTTAAAATGTCAAGTGCTTCATTACTCTTGTACTTGTTTGGATGAGCACCTTCTAACTTTTCCAGTATCTTTAACAGTCTGTGACTCATTTTATTTGTCCAACGGTAAATATTCAACCAGGAAAATGCTTGTACTTGACTCACGTCCTGTAACTTCTAAAGATAATGCAGCTGATACAATAAGGACGTTTTGCGTTTACCAGGAGATTTTAAATAAAACATTGTGAAAAGCTCTGGTTAACTTGACCATTACTGGGCCTAGTGTTTTGCAAAACAGATAATGTTGAACCCTCCTTTTTAAATAGAATAACTGAAGGTTTTTCTTGGAAAAGTCTCAAAATATGTTCAAGTCCTGGAATGCTGTAACAGGTTATGTACTAACAGTACAATGAAAATGCTTCAAAGGATTACTAACAGTATAATTTAAATGTTTGGGTTTCAACAGGTAACAAAGGTATCAGTTCCAACTTATATTTAAACACATATATGTTTTATAACTTAATTCTTCCTGAGTTGTTGGGGAGAGCTTCACAATTTCTTAGCATCATACTCAGATGGTAAACAAGTTACCTTTGTTCAAATGGTTTAAAAATTAACCTTTTTGTGAGAAGAGGGCTTAAAGACTCTAAAATTATAACATAATATATATGTTGGTTCATTTAAAAATAAGAGCCATGTAATTCTTTGTCAAATTAAATACTTCTTTGGCAGAGGTAAATACTTCTTTAATATTTTTATAAAAATATAAAGGCAAACCCCAAAATAAACAACAATGCCACAACCCACTGAGGTATATGTATAGGTATTTCTCTGAACAAGAAACTGAAATATACCTTCTGGAAAAGTAGCTCGGTAGTCTACAGATTCATTTGAAACCATTTCTGTAGTTGGGCTTACACTTCGGGCACTTACAAGCCTATCCAAATGAGGAGTGTGTACTCTTGCATCATAGCGAACTAATTCACTGCCCAGATCTTAAAACAGAGAGAAAGAAAGAGCTTGTTAAAGACTCGGCTATGATGGGACCCAGTGGACTTTGACCCAGTGCTCAGAATTCACGGTTTTATGGATTGCATATAAGACAGCACACATGAATCTACGATGATTTTAAACTGTACTGAATGCATTCTTAAGGTAACTTCTAGAAAGAAACAATAACAACAAAAAAATGCACCTTTAATTTGCTTTCTCTTTTTCATCCACAGGAAAAGCCCGAGTAGTAATAAGAGTATTATTGATATTGAGACAACACCGACAATCAATCCTGTGAAATTCTGATCTGGTTGAACTATTACTTTTCCAAGGACAGTTGAAGAAACTGCTTGCTTCCACTAAAAATGGTAAATAAAGAAAAGTCAGAATTTAGCCATGATAGATACTTGTACTACCCAGGATGAAGCACAATCTCTCTGGGCCCCAAATACCACGTGTTTATTGCCACTCTAGAAGTAGCACAGTTGCCTTCAGGATAATGAGAGATTCTTCAATTCTGCTTTGGTGTTCAAATAATTACAGTATACTGATCCCGAAAGTACTTATATGACACTTAGCTGTTTGTATTTGTAACTAGGTATTAGGGATGAAAAGACAAATAAAAAGCAGGAACTGAAGCACAGAAGGGGAGATAGACAAATTAATGATTATAATACTATGTGGCAGATGCCATAGAAGTACAACTAAATAGTAAAGGGCAGAGACAATGGAACACTAACTCTATCCTGGAGGGTGGGGCATAGGGCTGAGAAGACTTCCTATAACAGGTAAATAATTATATTGTGATTATGGGACAATGAAGCCTCAGAATATTTTAATTTCAGTTTTTATATACAGAAGAAATATTTGAGGTCCTATATGGCTCTAATATTTTATGATTTTTAGGATTTATGGTCCTTCTGAAATTCCAAGTCTAATCTCATGACTCAATCTTAGATGTTCTAATTTTTTAAAAATATTTTCCATTTCATAACTTTTTGGAAGACTTTGGGAACCTTTTAAAAATCACTTACTCTTAGATAAACAAAATGTGGTATATACATAGTGGAATATTATTCATCCACAGAAAGGCATGAAGTACCGACACACACTACGACATGAACGAACCTTGAAAACATTATGCTAAGTAAAATAAGCCAGACACAAAAGGATAAATGTTGTATGATTCCACTTACATGAAATATCTAGGCAAATTTATAGAGACAGAAAGATTAGAAGTTATCAGTTCAGAAAGGAGGGAATGTGGAATTAGAAGCTTAATAGTTATAAAGCTTCTGTTTGGGGTGATGAAAAACTTTTGGAATTAGATAGTGGTGATGGTTATGCAACACTGTGAATTAATGCCACCAAACTGTACATTTAAAAATGGCTAAAATGGCAAATTTTATGTTACATAACCATAATTTAAAGAAGTTAATAGTATAATATACCAGAACCCATTGAACCGTATACTTTAAATGGGTGAATTATATGGTGTGTGAATTACATCACAATAAAGCTGTAAAAGAAAAAAAAAATGAAAAACATTCACTCTGGTTCTAGATGATCTGATTTAGCTGTCTACATGAAAGAAGTTATTGTAAAATGGCTTAATCCTTATTTTACTTTGTCCAGTGTGTACATCTTCTTTTTCTTATGGGATTCCATGAATTTGTGATCACTGTAGCAGGCAGTGGTATAATGGGCTCTGGCCTCCTGGGGTGGTGGGAGGTGGGGAAAGGGACAATCTTGGGTACGTCCTTATCCCTTCTGAGAATTACAGTAAATTTGGGGGAGAGTGTGGCATGACGGAGAAGCCTCACATGTGGGTGGAAAGGACTTTTGAGACCCACCCTCCTAAGGTTGGAGAAGGAGACAGCATTATAAAAAAATCCTCACTGTTTCTAAAATAACAACTGGAGATGAGGGCTGGGCTGATGAGCCAAAGCCAACACATAGATGAGCTTTAATGATTTATTTTAAGCCTGCGAGTGACATAATTACACTGGCTTCCTTATTTACATCAGGAGAGGAATGCAGGAATCCCACCTCTATATTTAGCTCGCTGTTCAATTTCAGCAGGTCATTGGGGACCGTGCATAAAACGGCTTCAGAATGTGAGTGGATATTCTCACAGCTCTTATTTCCAACTTTTAACACTTCACCTTTCACTGCTTCAGGGTCAATATCATTTCCCTGGAAGAAAAAAAAAAAAAAGAGGTTGTTAACACTTCACAGTTTTGCAGGAATGCTAACAATGGTGAAGGAATATAAATATACTGCAAACGTGGGCCAAGTTGTTTGCCAAGGCACATGATTTTATGATGCTAATTTTCATGGGAATTGGCATAGTTGAAGGGGAGCATGACCATTCCAGGGCACTGATTAGTCAGGAATTACAGCATATAGCTTTTTCATCAAATCAGATATTAGAAAAAAGGAAACAGATTCATGTTTCACATCCTTATGATGAATGACATCTTACCCATAATCATCTTATTGTTGTATTCAGAGGGAATTGGTGTGTTACAAAAAGAAGCAACTTAGAGACTTAGTTATTGCACTCGCTGCCTAACACTGCCTAATGCAGAGATTCTCGGCCTTGACTTAACTTTTAGAATCACACTGAGAACTTTAAAAAATACTGATACTTTGGATCCCGTCTCCAGAGACCTGATGTTAAATCATTGCTAATGTATTCACAGTGTATTATTTTATGTTAATACATTCCTTTTCTGTTTAAGTTGGGCAGTTTCTTTTTATCCTTCTTGCACACTTGAATCCTATACATAAATGAATTCATTTTTGAAGAAATTCCTGTGAGATGCTGTGTGACCATCATTATGATGTGAGAGCCCAATGATGTTATTTGGAACAATTACATAGTTACATGAGGATTTTTTAAAAAAATTACTCAATTTGACATATTTAGTTAACTGGAGTTACCACCAGGCATTTAAAAAATATCAATGCTTTGTTGAAGAAACCAATAATTAATCTTGGGAAAGAAGTGCAAACATAGGTACAATTTCTCATATCAAGACTTAATGAGTACAATTATTTACTGAACAAGCTATTACTTTGAGGAGAGATATATAAAAACATATTACTATTTTTCTTATGGGCAAAGAACAACCAATAATAACTACGGTACTGCTACTTTGTTTTATATAATCTTTAATACTTGGCAAACTCCATTCACATACTTTGTCTCATATGGATCTCAATAGATTGGTAGGTCAGATATAATTCTAGGACAAGAATTTGGAAGAAAATACTTCTTTATAACTTGAAGTTGGAGTTTAAGAAAAAATGGATATAGATAAACCCTATCTTTATATTTCCAGAGGCAGTATGTGTAGTCCATTGAACCAGGGCAGCCTCACAGGGCAACTCAACATAGAAGAACATAAATCTAATAGGTCACTTTGGGCCATCAAATGACAACTTGTTGGTTAGGTCTGAGGAGGGCTAACACCCTTACATATTGGAGGGAATTCAGGGAATGACAAAGAAAAGAGATTAAAGAGCTGGAGGGCTTGATTTATGAGGGAAGGACTAAAATGTGTCTTGCTTGCTTAGGTAATAACTAAAGTTGGGGGAAGGGCTGAACATACTGCAGTTCCATTTCCAATACTCATTTTTGAGGCTTAGGATCTTGGATGCTGCATAAAGACTTCTCTAAAACAAAAACAAATCACACAACCACACAACTAAATCCCTTTTCATATATAGCCACCAAAGAATTCAGGGTAAGTAGTAATTTATAAAAGAGATTATCAGCTTTGTATATGTAATTGTTTTAAAGGCCTAAAACCCAAGATATGATACAAGTGATATTGGTAGCACACTACTATATAACAGAGGGAAAATAAAAATAGATATAGGCTAACTTTTGCCACTTAAAATAAACATAGCTGTATTGAGATGTGAAAAAATATATGTTTAGAACTTCTATTATTAATTTTATTATTACTTATTGAATATTAACTATTATTAAATAGAAGAACATATTTACAAAATAAGCTCAATTTTTTGTCATTAAAATGGTAATATATGGGTTTGTAAATAAGCAACAAAAGAGGGGGATTTCTGATTTTTAATCCCCTAAACACATAGAGCAATTTAGAGTTATTATTATCTCATTTTATCCCGAACATACTCTCCCTGAGGTAGGTATTATTGTCATTCCTGCTCTACCTATGTAGAACTAAGGTTCAGAAAGGGGCTAGGTCGCAAAGCAAATCCAATTCCATTTGATACAAAATCTACTAACCATCTGCTGTGGGTCAGACACAGCTCTAGTCAGGAGAATATAAAGATGAGTAAGATTTTCTTCCTCTCACTGTAACATTAAAATGGATACATTTCTAAAATGACAACTAATTACTTCTAATGTGTCATATCATTGTCCCTTCCCTCTCTAGCTCTGGCCAGGTGTGACGTAATGTTTCTATCCAGGGAACTCACATCTGAGATGGCTACACAACAGAGCAGGTGGGAGTCAAAGTGGGTAGGATTTGAAACAGCACTATAACAGGAGGACTCCTGCAAGTTTTCATACAACCAGGTGGCCACAGGCCTAATCTAGGACAGTCAGCGAAAGAAGTGCTGTAGTTTGGGAGAGGACACAGACAGCCAATGGTCCAAAGTCTAAGGAGGACAGCAGTAGAAAATCAGTGAGTTGATAGTGGGGGGCAAGATTTACATTCCATCAAGAGCTGCCACCTCTAACCCCCCAGGTCATGGACCTGTTAGGAACTGGGCCACACAGCAGGAGGTGAGTGGCAGGGTGGGTGAGAGAGCCAGGAAGCAAGCGAAACTTCATCTGTATTTATAGCCGCTCCCCATCACTCACCTTGCTGCTTAAGCTCTGCCTCCTGTCAGATCAGCAGTGGCATAGATTCTGCGTTATGTTGAGTTGTATAATATTTCATTATATACCGTGTTTCCCCCAAAATAAGACCAACCCATAAAATAAGCCCTAGCAGGATTTCTAAGCATTTGAGCAATATAAGTCCTACCCCGAAAATAAGATCTAGTGATGGACATGGCTATGCAGTGTACCTGCACAACCCATGCATTTTGTCGCAGAGCAGTAAAGAAGATGAGCAGCCCTTCTCATTTGCCCCATTGTGACAGCTACTATCCTAGAGGTGAATGGAAAGGTGCAGGAATCCCCACCAACAATGTCGGCTCCCCCTATCAGGTCCCGGCCATCCTGTGTGTGTTGCAAGCTGAGGCTTTGAGGGGAAAATAACACATCCCCTGAAAATAAGCCCTGGGGTGTCTTCTTGAGGAAAAATAAATTTAAGATCCTGTCTTATTTTGGGGGAACATGGTATTATAGTGTAATAACAATAGAAATAAAGTGCACAATAAATGTAATACTCTTGAATCATCCCAAAAGCATCCCTCCCCCTTTCCTTGGTCCATGGAAAAATTGTCTTCCATGAAGCCGGTCTGAGCACTCATCTAGGAGACCCGAGTCTCTCAGCTTAGGAACCAAGAAAAGAACCTTCCAGAAGGCTGAGAATCAAAACTGAATTCCATAAGATGTTAATAGGCATTTGGGGAAAATGTTCCCTGGTCATTTGAGATAATCTGGGCAAACCAAAATTAAACTGGTTTCTTCATTGGCTATTTGGGGACCTTTACTATTAGGCACTATGAGACCACAGGTGCTATAAGCCCTGGAATTTTTTTTTTTAACAGAATGCCTGTTAACCTGTGCAGCACATGGAAATACTAGCTTGAGAATAAGATATGAACACCATTAATAAGAATGGGTCTTGGCACTGGGCCAAATGACCTCTGAGAAAAGAACCATTCACTTCCATCCTGTCTGGAGTCAGAACTGGCATCATGGTGGTTTTGACTGGGATTGGGCCTAGAGTTGCAGAAAAATTAGTCAGAGGGAGGAAGACAACCTCTGGCTGGCAGGTGGATTGGGTTGGGTCAGAACCCGGCTCCCTTCTAGATTGTTCTGAGAGTCTGGACTGTACCTGAGCTTTCAGCATTTGTTCTTGTGTCGACAGGGTCATAGCCTGAGTCCTGCTCCTTACCTCAGCTTATCACCCTGCCCCCTTTTTCCTGTTTGAGCTGATTTCTCCAGATTGGACTTTTGAAACATCTCTATTACCATATATTCCTATATGCTCCAGAATAAGACAAACCTCCAGGGCAGTATCAGGGACTCCTTGTTCCAGCATTAAACAGTGTACTTCTCTACTTTTCATAATATATGCTCAATGCACAACAAGTCAGATAATAAGATAATTAGGGGAAAATGCAGGATTTTTTTGGTAAAAAGAATCAATTTTTAGATATTTATAAAAATGTTTACAGCTATTTCACTTAAAGAATTGTATGAATATCTACAGACCATATGATAAAAATTTCTCCATTGTGGAAGGCATTTTGGTGCACTTTAAATGAAAGTTAATATGAAAAGGACTGTTATTTAGTGAATGTAGTGGACAGAAGACCAAATTTGGAATCAATAAGCTTGAATGTGAGCTGCGGTTCTGCCATTTGCTCCCTGGGTGATCCACAACAAATCAGCTCATCTTCCTAAACCTCTGTTCATTTATCGATGAAAGGGGATAATCATCAGTGACCTCCTAACCTCACAGGGCCACGTGAGCCTCAAAGGAAATAAGATATGTCAAAGTACCAAGTTAACTTGTTTCCATTCAAATATGAGCTGTTGTTGACAAGGGCATTTTTGGAGTAACGTGTGCTCCCAAAGAGATGTCTACTTCTTATGACTACTGTCCACAACTGGTCTTGTTGGACCTGAAACATTGGCCATAAACTACCCTCTACATCCATGGGGTTCCTGACTCACTCTGAGGAGTGTCTAATCCTTGGCCCCTACTGTGTTCTCCTGACCCAAATTTGGCTGGGTCAACCTTTCATCAGGTTTTGGCCAAGATGTAGTTACTGGGCCAGTTGCTAACTGAGGCAACTCTCATAACTGGGGTTGGAAGCAATCACGATCTCTTTTTAGCCGAGGAATTCTTGCATGCATGGCTGCTTGAAGAGCATGAACTCTTTCTGGCAATAAAGAGCAAATATCACTCTAAACACATGATTCTCTCCAGAGCGCTTTCATTGATGGACTGCAAACACACCTCACATTCATGTTTTGAATGGTAATTGAGCAAGCAGAACATGAGATAAAATGGTTGCCTTTCTTTTGATAAAAAGTTCACTGATTGTGCAGAAGAGGCATTCTCTTTTATTTTCTCATGCTTTGTTTCACTCTAAGAGAGGCAGAGGTTTTATTTTAATTTGATCACTTTAGACATTGATAAAGGGTTAAATTGCTGACATAACAAATATTCTCCTTTATCTTTTATTTCCCTTTATACATAAGGAAAATGGAGTAGAGGAAAAGCTTGAATCATGGTACCAAAATATTTCCCCTGAACCACCCCTGCTTCCACTAGATTGGTACTCTGTCACGTGGCAGGTGCTATACACTTATGAGAGAAAAAAGAGTCATTCTGTATATAAGCAAGAAAAGAAAGTGTTTTGTGCCTGTCTCCAGAGACCCTTTGGGCCATGTTGGGAACACTACTGACAGGCTGAGAATGATGTCAAATCATGTTTTTCTTGGTCCAACAATTTTGTAGGATGTTGAATAATGGGTATTTAACTTACAGAATGGAAACTTTTCTCTTCCCTATAAGACTGTGCTTGGAAGGGTAAAGAACTGTTTATCTCTAATCCCTCCATCATAGATGCAGGAGCAGCAAACAGTTTTTCTGGGCGTAAAACTATTTGTACATACACCTTTGTTTTCATCAAGAAAAACCAAATGGAATCTTTCAAATGGCAAACCCAATAATTGTTGAAAGCAAAAGGTCATGCTAGATTAGTTTTATTGAAACAAAGTGATAAAAAACTCTTTCTCCTTTTCTGAAACTAATTAAAGAAGCAGATGAAAGAACTTTGCTGTGGTAAACACACTGTTCATTGAAGCAAGCTTCCATTTAATTTCATGCTGGGCTTGCTTAATTATTGTACAAAACATGATTGCAAGGTTAGTAAACTTGCATGAGTGTGAACGTGTACATAGGTTGGGCCATAGATAAAATCTTTGTAAACAAAGCAGAAACATTCAGTATACACATATTAATATTACTTAGATGGATGACCTACAGGAACCTATATTTCATCTAAATAAGGACTATCCTATTGCTTTGTGTTTGTTCATATTTGTGTTCAGATGATCTTTCCAAAAAATTCTGAATGTTCAAAATAACATGTTGAAGGATAAGTATTTTGCTGTTTCTAGTGATTACAGCTAAGGGTAATTCAAGTCTTGATCATTTTGCCAGTTTTACTATTATTTGAAACCAAAACAACTGAAGGGACATGAGAGAGCTGTATGTTAGTGTTTGTTCTGCCACTATTTCATCTTGTCAAACCACTTAACCTCTCTGGGCTTTAGTGTTCTTCATTTGCAGCAGGCTGGCTTAGAAAAGATGGTCTGTTTTTCTCTATTAAATTATATGTAGAGGCTAATGTGTTCCTAAGGTGGTAGAAATCTAGTTCCATTTATAAATCAGCTTAGAGATGACCACACCCAGATACAAAATTCCAGATATTACAAGAAAATACAGAACGACAATGGATGCATTTATTTTCACGGCTCTTACCTTTTATCTTATAATGAGCATATCTAAGGTGAAATGTCCAGGGGAATGTATAACATCAGCAGGCTAATGCATCACAGGGAGCCTATTTAATGGATTTGTGTCCCACATTTGCTACTTTTTCATATACACACAAGAAAGGGTTTTTAAATGCTTCATTAAAATGCAGACCATGATTATACTCATCTTTTAGTCTTATGCCAAAAAGATTTGTTTTTCAGAGCTTAGATATTTGCTGATGTAGTATAAGATATAATGACCAAGTACAACAATTCTATTCACATAGCTATGAAGTCAATCAAGTTTGAGTTGATGAGTTAAGAGAGTGTTTTAAGCCTTTCTTACCTTAATTTCCAGTACATTTTCATTGCCCATTGAGATCATCACTGGCTTTTCAAAAGGCTTAAACACAGGATTATGTACATAAATGAGATCAAAGTATTTGGAAAGGATCCCATCTAACATGAAAAAGGCTTTGGTTTTCAGGGGGAGTTGCAGATTCAGCTGTTGTAGCGAAGGAGTGGTACAGCAGATTATCTCTGAATTAGAACGATGTTGACATGCCTATAGTAAGACACAATTATCCGCTGTAAATAGAATATAGCTTGACAACATCCACAAGCAACTTTCACCATTCACTACTTTAACCAATTGAAAATATATAGTTTTTGAAAAAAATCTACATTTAACTTCCTAATGTTCAAGTACGCATTTCTAGAAACACGATAAATGCAAAATTATCCAAACAACCCGTCTTCAAAGAAACACATGGTATCACTTGCCCAGAATAGACTATGTTGATCTATTTGAACCTCACTCCATCACTCCTTCCTTAAGACAGGACAGTCCTCTGCAGGAGCTGTCCCCTAGTCATCGGAAGCAATACAATGGCAGAGTGGGAGCTGGACTTTGTGATGTTAGAAGCCTTTGGCTCATCTTCCAGCTTTAACCCAAGCTGTGAGAATTGAGGCAAAACCCATACTTAGAAACTCAGATTCCCCATTTAGGAACTAAGGTTAAAATGTTATTCGCAATGTGATATGCTACATGGTAAAGTGCTTTGTAAATTGCTAGAAGCACCATATGGTGAACATTATAATTAAGTATGCAGTTAGGTAATCTTATTAGTGTGTTTAAAACTATAAATTATTGAATGCCAGGTTCTGTGCAAAATATTTTACAGGATTGGTCTCATTTAACTCTCACAGTGAATCCCATAGGTAGGTGCTATGATTATCCACAGTTTACAGATGAAGAAACTGAGCTTTGGGAGCTGATGTCATAGGACCAGGTCGCACAGCTCTGAGAGGCAGAGCAGGGAACATAAATCCTAGGCCATTAACTCCAAAATTCACTGTCTTAACTCCCATGCTATACCTCTCATTCATTATATAGTCTATATAGGTTAATCTTTTCTTATGCTCTACGTTTTACTCTGCTCTGCTATTATTATTTCATGCCCTTTCATCTCTCATTTCAAATCTTCCCTTTGGAATTCTGATTTATGGAATTTTGGAAAATGTGGTTTCCTCTTGATTGTACTTAGACTAAACCAGTGACACAAAGTGGTACATTTAAGGTTAAATGGTTGCAGTTTTTCCCCCAAGGAAAAGACAAACAAGCAACAACATCCCTTAGATTTCCTTCTCTTTGACAAGTATAGTTGGAGATAAAACAATTACTTATGCCCACAATAGAAAAAGGACTCAGGATATACATAAAAAGCACAAATAGCATTTGGTATTTTCTTTTAAAATAATTTTTAAAACTTATCATACATTTAAAAAATGCATACTGCAAGCAGATAAAACTGACAGATACAATATGAATAAAATTATATTTAGTTTTTATCAAATTAATATTATAATGCTAAAAGCTATTTATTGTTATCTTAAAAAAATGGACACAAACAATTGTACTGCCATCACAATGATTCTCTACATAACAACAATAAATTTGAGAACCACACAATAAACTACATACTTTTGGGACATAATGCATGTTAACAAATTAATATACATTTTGTTAAGAGGGTGATTATTTTTATTTTAAAGGATTTGGGTTTATTAGACTTGAAGTTACTGTGGCTGTATCTATATATCTAAATCAGACCTGACCAAAGAGTTTTTATTTGTTAAATAATAAATGCATTCAATTCATCATGGTCAGCTTCAAATTCTATAAGTGGCAGAGAACATGGAAGGAACACACATCTCTTTAGGTGGCAGTTTTCACAAACAATAGTAAAATGGCTATAGTAAAATAGATCCACTGAATTTTTCACTTGTTCAATTCTAATGCATTGTTCTACTGCTCTGACATGTTTGTGGCTAAAACAACAGAAGTTTACATTTCCAGATATATAAACAGATACGATTTTTTGTCTCCTATTATTGTTTGACCCTTCCTTGGGATATGCAACTCTATGTCTGACACCTAGAAGGTTTTTAATAACTATTTCATTATAGAGGAAAGAATAAAGCTAGGAGGTGTTCTACATGTCATCTTAATGCTGATGAAGAAGAAGAAAGGAAACATGTTAAGTCAGTATTTTAATAATGTAGACTCAGTGGCATTTAGATAAATTAATAATTTTTCACATTTCTACTTTTTGAAAGTTACATGCCAACACCAAAGAAGGTTACTGTTATTCTGATTTGGTTAATTAAAAATTGTTAAGCTTAGTTGTAGAGAAGTGATGTCCTTTAAATTAATAGCAGTGGTATTTTAACTTTGTTTGTGGCCATGTGTGGGGATTGGTTTCAAAGCCCTTTACTTCATACGGTGACTCCCTGGAGTGCAATCTCTCAGGAATATGATAAAAATCTAATAATACTCTTTAGAGGTGATGCAATGTGGCTGATTGAGAAGGCCAAGAAAAATCTCATTTGAGATGACCTTATTGTTTGGTGATTTGGCTTGACATTTTTAGCCCCAAATTGGTTTTTGTAATTAAAGAACACTGTGGCTTTAGTCTTAAAGACATATTGGATGGGGAATCTGAAAGAAAGTGCTGTAATTCAATCTATCACCTGCCCAATCAAGACCCTGCTCTAGCGGGAGCACTTAGAACTTTCATTCTGAGTTGAGTGCACAAGTCCAACTTGATTATGGTATTTTACATTGGAGAAAAACATCGACAAAAAGCATGGAATCTTTGGAAATAACTCCAACCTTCCTAGGGTCTCAACTAAAACTACCACTTTCACATGACCTATATAAATTGTTAGAGCACAAAATGGGTCAATCCCTTTTAAGGAGGTATTCAGTTAAATTTTGATTGACCTTACGAATAAAATAAAGAAAGATGGAGAAACACCCAATGACATTCACACAGTAGGACATAACACAAATATTCTAATGCTTTTTCCTGTCACTTGATAATATGCTAACAAAGGGACAAGAGGAACAAGGGGATGTAAGAAAACATTGTATGTCCATTGCTTAGAGAGACAAGGCTGCTGCTGTATGGTCAGAGGCTTTTTTCAAGGATTAATTAGAGCAAAACAGTCTACATTCCATGATGCATAGGGAAAACGGGGCATAGGGAAATACTGTGATTTCATTCCGACTTTCTTTAAAGACACTGCCTCAAGTTGGTAATCTTCATTGGTGTCCAAATATTATATATGTATGTATGTGTGTGTACTACTTTTTTTGCATTGTCAGCCCAAGACACTAGATAATTTCAGTTGTTGAATAAAAAAATACTATTTGACCTACAGTGCAAAGAAGGTAACTAGCAGACATTAAAGGCAAAACTGAAATGCCTCAGGCACCCTGAAAGCCAGGGGGTAAAGGCAGAGATGCAGAGCTTTGAGTAGAACCACCAAAGAACTTACCACTGTAAAGTTCCTTCCTGCTTCCTGCACATTTATCACCATTCTTGGGACACTAACTGAATTCAGGTTTTTTCCAACACCTGTTATTGTGCTCCCACCACTGATAAAACAAAATAGAAAAATGGCATATTGACGAGAGGTTCTCTTCTTGAAGTATTTTAAGAGTAAGGTTCAATTTAATCACATGCAGTGATTACAAGTCAAAGGCACAGCCACAAATGGAAGTTCAAGGGTAACTTTTCTTTGGAAACAACTTATTTAACTTGAAAATATATTTTAAAATTCATATTTCATAAGCTTAAGAAATGCACTTGTATTTTTATTCACCAAATACACAAAAGACATATTTTTGTCCCTGAAAAAAACACAAAGAAAAATGAATATAACTATTGTTGCCAGACTAATAGAATTAGTAGAAACAGGGAAGATTAAACTGGGTCGAATGAGATACTGATTCGAAAGGAGTCTGGTATAAGGAAAGCTGTGTGTAAAGCAGGCAGGACAAAAAATACACTAAAGGAGGGAAGGAAAAAGGTGATTCCAGTTTTGGGCACTAAGGTTCACATAGAATTGATGTGCATAATGTAAATGCATACATACTATGGTGTCACAATGAACTGTTTTACTGTAATCTGTTTAAAATGTAGTAGAATAGGATAGAAATGCTTCTTGGCATGAACTAGCACTGATAAAATCTAATTGTACCTAGAATTTGAATATAATTTTCTCTCTCAAATTGGAAAGGCAGTGTTCAAAAGAAATGTATCAGCATCAAAGCCAGAGATAAAATTGCAATTCCTCTTGACTATTCTACAGTCAAATCATCCTTGTGTTTGTTATTTTCTTATACCCATCAGAAGCTCTTACTTACCTAACAAAAGATTTGGTTGGATGAATTTCATAGACAACGGGGTCTTCCTGATAACTAAAGCTGCTCGTCTCTCGGTTGGCTAAGTCAATTTTCAATTTAACAGGAAACTCAGTTGAAATGATTTGAGCTGGGGTATAACATTCAAGAATACTATTTGACACACTGAACAAAAAGAAATTAAGAAAATGGACCTTAGTTATTAGAGATACAAATATTTTAGAATTACATCCATAAATCAAAGGGATATAACTCAATGGCTCCTAAATGGGAATTTCTTGAGATGGTCTAGAAAAAAGCCCTTTTTAATGTTCACTGTTCACATTTGAGTGGATCCCAAACTTAGTCTGGGCATAGATAAGCCATCCTTGACTTGAAAACATTTGAGATTTTAGGAAAACTTTAAAGTACTCTTGGTACTTGATTAAACTGAGCTCTTCCAACTCTATGAAGCAAGAACATAACTTTCCAAACCCAATCTCCTTCATTTCTTCCCACCCCAAGTGACTTAGTCTAATTGTAAATTTTGATGAAAATGTTTATTTCAATTTATTGTCATTTGCTAGAATCTCACAGCTCATAATATAGCTAGGATCCTAAGATAAAACAGTAAAGAGGGTGGATGGGAAGACAAAACTGAAAAGTGGGATTACTAAATAATAAGGGAAGAAAATAAAAAATAGGGGTAGAAAAATCAGTAAAAAGGAGTAGATGGATTTGGGAAGGAGGAACTTTATCAGGAGGAGAGTAAACAATAAACATTTTGCTTTTCCTCCTAGCAAAAAAGACAACCTTTGCTTAATTTGTCAGCTACGGATATTAATCCAATTTGACAGGTGCAACAAAAAATAAATTTACAACACCTTTTTAAAGTACATGTTTTTCCACCAATTGAAATGTGTCTAGAATTCCCACTGTTTAGGTACTTTCCAGTTAAAGTGAGTAAAGTGCCACCAGCCTTAGGACCATAACTTGGGGAAATACTCGTTATTACAGGATCCTGAAAGGGAGATACAAGAAAAACAAAGCAACTTGTGAATTTTATAATTCTAAATAGATTAAGTAAAAAATCAAATTTCCTACTTCATGGGAAGAGTAATGCTTAGACTTACCACATAGGAAAATGTACTATATTGTGTCATCCCTCGACCGTGTGAAATAACGATGGACATATTGAAATGCTCGCTCATTGCAGGACCGACTGTGCATTTCAACCTGAAAAAACCCAAAGTTTAAAACGTTACACATCCAAAGGCCTTTTCTGGTCTGGCTGTTTTATAGGAAGGGACATTAACTTTAAATTGTGAGTCAACTACTCTCAATAATAAGTAGAGTTTCAAGGTAAGCATTAAGGCTGAGAATGGTATAATTCTATTTCAGTACTATTATTATGCTATACTTTATATTGGCTGTATTATAGTATTTATACAGACAAAACAGGAGAGGGTAGACCTCATATATGCAGACCTCACCAATTGAAAAGTACATGATAATCTAAGCCTAAGCCTATAAAATTGTAGGGGTAATGTTTGGCCTACTTAAGGTAAAGAAATGATATTTCAGTAACATGAAACAATGGGCTATGAATAAGCCAATCTCTTCATGAAAGTATGTCAACATGGACATTTCTGTGGTTATACTTGTCATGTTTATTTAAATTACTTAAAGAATAATGAAATTATGATGGGCAGTCCATATAATTATTTTTGAATCAATGATCTTATAGTTCTGAAAAAGTTTAAATATAATTTCTTTTATTAAGTAACTTTTTAAAGAAGAAAATGAGTTATGTTTCATTTTTACAGGTTCTAATTTACAATGCAATGATTAAGAGTTTTGGAGAACTTACAAGGGAGATGCCTAGATAACTTTGTTTTGCCATTGAGCTAACAGGTATAACATTAATTGATGTTTTTGCTCTCAGTAAAGTGAACAGATTTAGACCTTTGTGTAATGCTGGAATGAATTCTATTAGATATGAAATAACCACTTCATGTAATAGGTTTAACCACAAACATTCAATTGTAACTCTTAAATGTTTGGTTGTTGTTACTACATGATTTCTGAAGTCTCTGTGGATTATGGAAATCAGAGCTTATCGAAGGCATGTGTAGAATATAGTAGGATAAGTATAGGTCTTAGATCAGAAGAGCCGAGTTCGAAGGCCTGCTCAGCTCTTACTCTCTGGATTACCTCTGCTAAGCCACACTCCACTTCTCTGAACCTCAGGTGCCTCCTTTGCAAAACAGGAATGGCATGGCTACCTTCTGGACTTTGGGGGATGGCTAAATAAAATACACATCATATATTACCAAGGCCAACGAGTATGAGCTGAATGTAAATTTAAATTCATCCAAAAAGTCTCAAACTTTTGACTTAGCTGCTTCACTACATTTCTGAGGTTTAGAAAGCAAATTTAGAAAAGCAGCAGGATATTGAGCTGTTTACTGATTTTTACAGGATAAACCTTTGGAGACTCTATATTTGAAGATTCTAAAGATGAAGTGACTCCAACTAATGCTGTTTGTGCTACTCTTTCAAGTCTACCTAGACGATTTCGGAAGAGTTGTCACACAAATGGCGGAAAAACTCCTCAGGTGCTGGATGATTCTTTACTTCACCTAAGCCATGTCACCTTTCTCCCTCCTTAGTCCTCAGGAAGGAAATGGGATTAAAAGAACAAAACCAAACAGCCCTGCAAGGAATGTGACAGGCCAAGACCCCTTTTAATTCAAGTGATGAGCTTTTCGAGCAATCTTGTTGATTTTTTTAAACAAATATTCATTCAAAAACAAGCCCTGTTTTCCAAGCACATCCCAGCAAAGCATTTGTTGTCCTTACATATTTGTTGTGCTTTCACTTAAGGTCAAGGTACAGCTTTCATTTCCAAGGAGAACTTTGGTTTTCTTTAAGTCAAATTTATTATTTCTCCGGAATCCAAAGTCCCAGCCACATATAGTCAGCATAGTCCCTCCTTCCAGGGGCGCACTGGTTGGGAAAACCTACAAGGACAAAATAGGACATAAAAAAAAATCTGATATATTATTACTTTTCATATGTGTGGATGTGTGTGGAAAACAAAATATTTATCCTTAAATAATCTGAAATTCTTTCATTTCCCCACAATTTAGTAAAAACTGAATTTTTACCAAAGAAAAAGGTTCACAAATTTCAGAGCCTTTGGAACAAGTATTAAAATTACTCGACGTGCTGATGAAATAAGTTGTTTTTAGGAGATCCAGAGATGGGACAAAGAGCAGATTAAGCTGGGGTGGGAAGAAAGGGCCTTTCTGGGCCACTGCAAAGTAAATTTATCTTCTAGGGATCTTTTGAGAAATAGACACACTTTGGGCCTAGACTTTCACTTGCTTATATCTCTGATTATAACTCCTCATGGGCTTCCAGATCAACTCGTGATCAAAGCTCTTCAAGGGTCCTATAAGCCAAGTCCAATATATGTCTTACTTTGTGCACCAGCTGTGTGTATACTATATTCTTGTCATTATGGTATTCCTCTACCTAGAGAAGAAAGTCACACAGGAAAAATACCTCTTTTGGTATCCAGTATTTGCCCAATTGCATTCAGCAGCTATCATAAGACCAAATACACAGTGTTTGATACATATTTGCCAATCATTCATTCAATATTTATTTACAAAGCACTTCCTAGGTGCCTGGCACCAGCAAATAAATAAATGAATCTATTTCTTCATACTTGTTAATAAACACTTATTACTGATTTAAGATTTTTCCTTATTCTTCAAACATGGCCACTATTTGATGTGTACTAACTGATGTATACTCAGCCTTTTAAAATTATGAAATATTTAATACATACAATATATTATTTCTGTTTGAAACAGATATTATAAAAACAGAATTGGAGAGAGCCCAGAATTGGTATTATAGCAATTTTTATAATTATCTTCATTGACATTATTTTATATCTCATTTTAGGATCAATTTGTCCCCCTGATGTTCATTTTAAATAAATAATAGGTTCATTTTATTATTGCAGGCTTACTTTTGATGTGTTAAAGGTAAAATTTGGATTTATTACTATAACTTTGGCAACCATGATATAAGATAGCATTAGGCACTTACAAAGTCTGTAAGACAACTGTTCTTAGGCTAAAACTATTTAAAAAACCCCCACATTTCCAAGTTAAAAATAAGCTTCTCCTCAGCAGCTTTGTGACAATTGAGAAAGGAAATGTTCTTTTGGAGGGGGGGACATATTGTAAATTGTGCTGTGAAGTACAATGGTGGGAAAACATAGCACCAAGATAGAGGCAACTCAAGAACCAGTAAAGGTGTTTGCTAAAGCCCAGTTTGTGACAGTCTAAAAGCGATTCTTTCACAATTAAGAAGGGCTTTTAGCAAAATTTCAAATTTGCAAACATTCCCATCCTTCCTAAGTAAATAATCGCAAACCAAAGTCTTAACTTATCCTTGTTACCAAACCCCTTTAAAGTCTTAGCTTAATGCTTTTATGATAGCCATTTTACCCATAAAAATCCATTACACAGTTGTGCCTTTCATGAAAATTTACCTCGTCCACGTCTAGTCAAATGAGAACTGCTAGGAAAAAAAGAAATCTGTTTATTATTATTATGTTAGAAATCCAGTAGGAGAGAAAAGACATCCAACCCTCCCAGGACGCTGCTCAGCCGGAGGCAGCCACGCAGCTGCTGCACGCCCTTCTAAAGAGGAGGCTTCCCCACTGGAAACAGCTGCCCAGGACGGCCGATCCCACTGCCCACAGGCCCCCTTTCCATGTAAAAACTGACGCCTGCCACCCTACACACACCATCACCATCCCTTTCTATGAAAGGCAAAAAGGATGGGGTGATGATTTGAGAAAAGACACCAAGAGCTGTTCATCTGGGGCCCCTGCACTAGAAATGGATATTATACACCCTCTGCTTAGCTGTGCTCTCTGGGCTGAGCATTTGCCCGCTAGCATATGGGGAAAAGGAAGGAAGCAGCCGTGGACTACACACCCCTGCGTAGACCCAACAATGTCCTGGCAAACTCTGAGTTATCCCGAAGGGCAGAGAAACTCTGTGGGCAGGAAATGAGTGTCTGGCGTACAGTCACAGAAGCCAGGTCTCCTACCTGTCTGGGTAGGGGAGCTAGAGCCACAAAAGTAGCTCTTGTCCTTTCACAGGTAAAAGATCACATCACTGATGAGCCCATTCCAACAGTATTTTAAATGATTTGTGTCCTAAAAACCCATTAAGATAAAGCATGAGAAAGCAAAAAACAAAACAAACCTTTAAAAATGAAAATTCGCAATAGAGGCCTCTTTTCCTCTTTAGTAGGAAAAAAGTCACAATATACTGGTGGCAGTGCACTGCCTGCCCACCCCCCTACCTCCCTTAAGATATTGCTTTTGTTTCTTATCCCAGTCTTTTGATCAAATAATAAACAGTTTTATTGTCTCACTGGGATTGTCCTCAACCCTACAAGATATGATAATATCATCCTAAAACATTCAGAATATATTGGAAAGTGTTCTTCCTTTTCTGAAGCATTTCTCATTGCTCTTTTAAGTATAAGATTAGATGACACGTTTGGAACAAAATAATGGGCTTGTTATCCTAAAAATCTCTCATATCTGGAACTGCAATGAATTTCAGCCACTGAACACCATTTACCTTGAAAAGCAGGTTAACTTGCATGTATTAGAAAGTGAAACTCTATACATTAGCTGGATTTTGTGCCTGCAAAATTTAAGGCAGATAAGAAAAAGATGAATAATCTGTCTTATTTTTTGCAGTAAGAATGCTAAATGTCACGGTCTAGTGTAGCATGAAATCTTCCTAACAACTATGAACCTAGAGGGATTTATGGACTCAGCTGCACTACTTTCCTTCTAACCCTACAGCCTAAGCCTCACTGACTTGTGCATGATACTATGCAACCTTTCAAAATCGCCAACTGTACAGTGCCAGAGTTAGGAAAGGTGAGAGAGGAGGGAGATTCAAACATTATAAGAGATTCTCTGGTTCCAGAAAATTCTAAAATACTTACTTTATTTTAGCTATTTGAATATAGCTTTCATGATTATTAAAAGGAAGCACATTAATCAAAATTAAATGTTTCATTTGTACAGATTATTAACCTGCTTTCTTTATGTAAACTAGCACCTTGGCTATTTCTGAAACGAAACGGTTGTGATCTAATTGCATGTGCACACACACACACACACTCCATATCTGTCTCAGGGAATGGCTGAGTGCACACCCCTAGTGTCTCAAATTGCTAAGGCTGTGTGTTCAAAAAGCATAAAATTGCATGTCGTTTTAGAAGTACCTTAAACAACAAAAAGTGCTTACATACTACAGTATAGGTTTAAATTTGTTTCCTTACTCTCTTTAACTTTATTCTTTGGCCCATCAAGCTAAGTCTTAATAATTGTGTCACACCTAACAGAAAATGACGTGGTTTAAAACCCAATCACCCGCTACAAATCTTGCTCCAAACCGTAACTAAATGAAAACAGCCATGCGCTTGGGGGCGGTTCCTGTTCTGACTCGCGCTCGCTTTGTTTACTTGGGCATGAACCAGGCGACCGAGACCTTTAACTTGAATCTTTCACAAGGACCATTTACTAAAGTCCAACTGTTCTATGTGCAGGCAGAGAAAATACATGCTGGGCCCTCACCAGGGAAGTGTTTTCAAGCAAAATGTTTTGGGCCAAGAAATTTTTAAAAATTGCCATCGAGATTTTCATGGTGCCAAATGTATGCTTCAGCAAACAAGGCAACAGAGGCAGAGAGCATGGCTGCCTTATCATGGCTGATGTCTGTCCGCTGCTAGAAGCAGAGTTCTCTAGCAGCAAGGGGTGTGTGTGTCTTGCTGCGGACTGTATCTCGCCAGTGTCTAGAAGAGAGCCTGCCAAGTGGTATGCACTCAGTAGATATTTTGGGAATGAATTAAAGGATCAATGGGCTTACAGAAGTATAGATGTTAGGATAGCATCAGTTGAGCCTTTACTTCTCTTCCAGGAACACTGAAAGACTCACAGCCACCCCTGAGTGGTGACCTTCTACTTGCCTCCCACATCACCCTGGGAAGTAGCCTCTAGTTTCTTCTGTGAAGAGACAAGGCTGCCATCTATACCTCAGACAGGAAGAAACCTCCTGTCCTGAGCACCCTAGCATGGCTGGGATTGCTTGCTGGTAGGGTTCAGCTCAGGGTTCCAGGATATGCCAAGAACAGATGTGTTTCTGTGGTGGAGCTTTAGGTCTGGGTACGTGGCTGATAAAGTAGGTGATGAGTAATCAGCGAATGGGTGAGTCAGGAAGCAACAGGTCCCAGTGTGAGAAAACGGTAGCAATGTCACTAATTAGCCACCACTCTTACACTCTAGCACTAAGGGAGAGCTGTGGCCCAAGGAGAGAACCTAGTGAGTATGAAGAGAGCACTTCAGGTGCAGGACTCTGGGGGATGTGCACAAACGCCACCCTAGAGACAAAGCCAGGAGGGAGACAGAGCTTTGGCTGATGTCTCTTAGTTAAATGAATAAATTGATTCAGGGATTTCTTTTTCATTGGTGGGATTTACGTTTACCAAAAAACACATGTGACAGCTGACAGAGATTCCTACCTTGTGGATGGCAGGCAAACAGATCTCTTGAGTCCATGTCCCAGTGGGGCATTCCTCTGATCGCACACATTTATCGTGGCACCAGCCACACTGCACGAAGGAAGGGGCAGAGAGACACTGACTGCAGGACTGGAAATGTCCACAGCCCAAGCCATTCAGTGGGATCTTGGTGATCTGTGAAGAAAAGGGATAGAAAGAACTTCCAGAGGGGTTTTTGGTTTGTTTGTTTCTTAAGTAAAAACTGAGTACACAAAAGATCTATGCAAATATCATTTTATAGAGTCTACTAGAGGAAGCACCTATGTGTGCAGATCATGTAATGTTAGTTAAGCAATTAAAATTTTAAAAAGTCAAATTCTGTCCTTCCCTCTATTGTTGGCACGTATGTGACAACAGTTAACATTCTGTCCTGTGAACATAGCATTGTCATGCAATGTTAGAGGTTCTATATAGTAGAGACATTGTGCCCTGTCTGAAATGATTTTGAAACAACAAGAGAGCATAATTTAAGCTGTGGGAAAGCACACTTGAACTCCTGGAAAATACTGAGATTACATATCATTCTGGCATCAAGATGCACGTTCTTGTCTCAGAGAAAAGGGATTACTGGCTGGAGTCAGATTCCAATGTGCATTTCCAGGATTTATCTGCCTGCACTAGAGTTCTGCCATGAGGACTGTAATACTCATTCTGTGTGTTTGTTTTTCTCATTGAGAAATACAGGACAAAGGGAGAAGTTTTGAAAAAGACCTCCCTTAGGTCCCATCTTCCTTGCATAAAAAATTAACTTGATTTCAGAAGATTTCCGGAATACTCGTGAAAGAACTTAATGGAGAAGTGACTCTAAGATGAAGAGAGAAGTTACAAAGGACCAAATGACACTAGCTCTAAATATCCACTCAGGAAGAACCACATCCATGGAAACTTCTTACCCTCTTCCCAGTGACAACCAGCGTGTAGCCATTCTGGTTTAACGGGTGCTCCACAATCACTTCCGGAGACACAGGGTGGGAATCCAGCTGAAAGTTCACATGAGGGGTTGAGGATCCTGATCGAGAAACCACAACCTGAGAAACAAAAAAGAAAACACTCTTATTCCAATAAGGTCGGTTTCCATGGAAGTGTAAAATTTGGATGATAATGGTAATAACAGATTAGAAGAGCTCGTGGGTGTTTGAACTGAAGACCCAACAGTTCATCTTGTTGTAAATCAATACGACATTTTCTAATCTCCTGCCTTGAAGCCAATTTATCTGAATCCCCAAGACAGACTTCTGCCTATGATCTTTTAATGGTTTCTTGGGAAGGAGATCTTTCAATCAATCAGCCAGCACATGCAGACAGATCCTCACAACGCTATTGGGAACTGGAGGAGCCAAAACTCTCCCCAGAAAGAAGATACCACACATGCTACGAGGATTCTGGATTAATTTTTAACCTATCCTCTTGACCCTCCCAACCGAGTAGTTTCCCTTGATGTAATAAAGGTAAAAGTAGTAGATAGGGAGTCTGGAAACCTGGAGCTAGTTCCAGCTTTGCTACTCTTAAGTCATATTTGTAGATTTTTTTCTGAGGTCAAAATAGGACCCCAGCTACTTTAAAATGATGTGCTGGATTTTTTATAAGCCACTGTCCCACGATATATTATTACTTGGATCATAAATAAAGTTCTACATCTTGGCCTGGCTTTAAAATAAGGGCTGATGGTTTTAACAATGCCTGGGAAACGAAGTTGGATGATCGGTGTCATTGTTGTTTTCAGGTATTTCTACTTTGGGATGTCACCCAGCTGTATAATTTCCATCCGCCCTGTTCCTAGAACCCAGTAATAATGAAGTTCAGAGAGTGTGATCAACAACAATTGGGATAAAATCAGGATGATTATCTTAGATGAAAGCTTAGATTTTAGGAAGGTGTTGGAGCCCTCAGAGAGACTTTCATTCTGAAGCAGGCCATTGGCTTGCATATACATGAGGTGTAGGAGGCTGAGCACAGCTCCAGTCTTGAAATCTACTTTGCAAAATTGCCAGACATCTCTAATAGGCTTTTACATTGCATTGAAAGTGCATTTACTTGCTGAGGGTTTGAAATCACAGGAAAAACATCGGCATCTATGAGATTAGGATTACTTAAATAGCCACTACCTCTGCCTCAGCTTTCTCATCCGCAAAATGGGAATGGAAATTATAGGAATAATGAACTGCTTTGTTCTCTATACACACACTCAACATACAAATGTTCTGGAGAACAATAGTAAATTTTTTCTTCAACACAATATAGGAGCCAAGTAGACTGCAACAATTTGGGAAGATTCCCAAGTAGCTAATTTGTTCTCAGAAAGTAGACTGTCGACAGAGAAACTAGTCAAGCTCACACAGAGCCATAAAGGTTAAACATTGTGACATCTTTGCTCTAATGTTTGTCCTACTCCAAACACAGAACACTTTCAAAACATCTCCATTAAACAGGGTGGCTATATTTGCACAGAAGTTAAGTGATGGATCAAAGGTCACTTGATCAGGATGGGAAATGATGGAAACTGTTGTTATTTCCTAAATTTTAGGGCCCAATAGGTATTTGTGACCTTTGCAGGCAAAGTGAACAGAAGTTCAATTACCAGCCCTACCTCCCTCTGGGTACTGATTACAAGCAGAACATCAGAGTCAGACTTCCAAAGCTTCTGCCCCAAATTATCCAGATTTTAGTTATCCAATTTTGCAATCTTCACTCTCTTCTGGTGCTCACCACTTCTCATTTTTTCTACAGCCCCCTCCCATTTCCTCCCTTTTTTCCTTGATCTTTGCCAATCACTTCAAACTGCGAAGGTGAAAGAAAAAAAAAAAAAACACTCTTTTTCTCATGCGTGTGTCAAAAACAACACAGAACACCAAACTATCTTAATATCTTATCCTGACTCTGTTTTCCATCACATTCTGTGCTTTCCACTTCACTGAGGATTATTAATCACTATGAACCTCCCTATAAATATCCACATTTTGTGTCTGTCTTCCTGGTTTCTCCCATTCTACTCAGACTTGCTCCATAAGCCTTTCTCTCTCCTACCTTCTTGCTCTCTTTAATGTCATTTCCTGTATCTATAGTAAGCAATCCTTTCTTAATTACTAGGTCATCACCTTTGACTTTATCAAATATTGAAGCACATCCAGATATTCATTTCCCAGAAAGAATGAACCTTTCTCTTTCTTTTCATAAAGAAGCTTTTTGCATCTCTGGATGACTTGGATTGATGGATCTGCACATCCCCTGTTGAGACTTTTTGTCTGGAGAGAGCACTATATATATATGGTACTTTCACACTAGGTGACTGACTCAGGCATTGTGCTAAGTGCTTTACATAGATTTCGTTTACTCCTTACAATAATCCTATACGGTATGTACTATTATTTTCCTTAAAGAAAATATGACAGAGAATTTTAGCTTCTAGAAAATACAAGAGTCAGGTTTCCAAAGAGCTTTATCTAATGCCAGAATCCATGTGCTTGACCTCTTCTTAAACACTCAACTGCTAGACTCCTGGAGCGCCAGAGTAAGTATCAATAAAAAGCTTCAACTCTGAGGTCCCAAGAGTCACTTGTGAGTCAAAGTACTAAAACACATTTCACAATATATTTGCCTTGCCAATGACTCCTTGTTTCGGTTATCTTGGCTGCACAAGTTAAGTGTGCCTAAGGAGCAAACCTCCTCATTGGAATAGCTTTTGATGGCAGAGAGGAAATGCTACTAGCACAGCTTAGCGAAGCTCTACCTTTGATCATGAGCTAGGATGAGTGTTGCTTGGCATAGAAAATGGGACAAGCAGGAGAAGACAGGAAAGCGGTGTGGATAAGTGAGATGACCGCTTGGAATTTTGAGCAGAGGTTGGAGCACAGATGCAAATGCCTTTTTAGTTGATCATTAGTCCTTTCTCTGCAGGGATACCTACTGCTGTAAAATGCCAAGAATGCTTTTCTATCCTTAATTCCTCACTTTCTCTTCCCGCTGGAATTCTAAATAATTGAGTAACCACTTTAACTCTCAAAATACCCCTGAAACAATGTTTGCAAGAAATTAGGAGTTCCTTTTGGTTGTCATGGAGATATTTCTAGGGACAGAACTGAATTTGGCATCTATATTTAATTCTTATGATAAATCACCTGGCAGTCTTGGAACAAGTAGTATAAAATAGAAGACTGGTAATTTTCTTTTTGAGTTTCTACTGTGTTGACAACTAATCTTTAGTATTTATGTCACAAAACCTTTTTCTCTAGTGCTCTTGAAAATATAGGACTAATACATTTGGGGAAGGGAGGAATATGAATTTACTCAATTGTTGTGGTTATGATCTCATTTAACCTCACCTGGATGTGAAATCTGGGAGAGGACATGGGGAAGAAATATATGTACAAATAAAATAAAACCTTGTGGCTAAGTCCCAAAATTTGTAAACCCGAATAAAATAATTTTGTATGAGACATCTACATATATGTAAAAGCCAGATATACCACATGTATTGTTTTATTTTTAATTAAAATGTTTTAGAATTTAGTTTTCTTTAAGAATGATGAATACAATTTAACCTGAGATATTTATATATGGCCTTCTGTCTACTCCCCCAAATGTTGCTTTTTTTAAAAAAAGTGAACAATTCAATGGTTTTTAGTATATTCACGGATTTGTGCAATCATCACCACAGTCAATTTTGGAACCCTTTTATTACCTCACAAAGAAATTCCACATCCTTCGCCATCATTCCCCAATCTCCCTATACCCTCTGGCTGCTGACAGCTACTAATCTATCTTCTATTTCTATAAATTTTCCTATTTTGGATAATTCATATAAATGGAATCCTACAATGTGTGCTCTTTTGTGTCTGGCCTCTTGCACTTAGCATAGTATTTTCGAGATTCATTCATGTTCCTTTTTATTGTCAAAATTCACTGTATGGCCATACCGCCTTTTATTTATCTATTCACCACTTGATTGACATTTGGGTTGTTTCCCAATGTTTTGGCTATTGTGAATAATGAACATTCATGTATAACTTTTTGTGTGAACATATATATTCATTTCTCTTGGGTACATAAATAAATATGTATTTTTGTTTCTCTTAGTTACCTAAGAGCGGAATTGCCTATGGCAACTCTATAGTTAACCTTCTAAGGCACTGCCGAACCACTTTCCACAGTGACTGCACCATTCTATATTCCTACCAGCAACGCATGAAGGTTCCAATTTCTCAACACCCTCGCCAACACTTGTTATTTTCATTTTTCTTGATTATAGCCATCCTGGTGAGTATGAAGTGGTACTTCACTATGGTTTTGGTTTATATTTCTCTGCCAAATGTTGTCTTCAATTAAGTAAGAGGAAGGTTTACTTATGAAGGTTCACAGCCTTCCTCCCATTCCTCCCACCTCAGACTGAGTACTGGGCATCCCCTGCTCAGCATCCCAATCAGTGTGCTGAAGTCCTCATGGTCAGACTGCACTTCTATAAAACAGGGTCCCAGTGAGTCTGGCAGTGGGGGAGAGGCAGAAGGAGAGGCAGAAGGAGAGGCAGGTGGATTCTCCCGAGGAGAAGCAGTCAGAGTGGGAGACGAAGCACACTCCCCAACACCTGTGCTTGGCAGAGGAGGTGAAGGGTTGCTGGCATATCCCATGGGAGGCCCAGAGCAGAGGTGGTGGAGGTGGTAGCATGGGTGGGCTGGAACAGCGTGGGTGACAGTGGACCTCCTGAAGGAGAGGGAGAGGCCCCTGGAAGTTGTCAGAAGATAGCCAGACAGAGAGTTTAATCAGAGTTGCAGTAGACTAAGAATATTTTATGTCCTTTAATATTTTCAGGGAGACTCAAGTAACTACTAAAATTCCTGTTGGCATTGTACTTCTTTTAATGAGGTGCTGCTCTGGGATTCAATTCTACAGGTAGGAGTTCCATGTGGGACACTCTTGGTGACCCTCAATACATCTCTGGACTAGATGGCAGACTTTTAGAAAACACGTAAACAGTCCTTCTTCACACGGTGATCCCGGGATCAAATAACATGGTAGACCTTGTTGTAAATGGTTC